AGCAAGATTTGAGCCCAGTCATTATTTGCTCCACCATCACTCTGTCTGTATTGTGTTACCTTGTGTCAGTGTCCCGTCATTGAGCACACAGGAAAGTGAGCACAAGTCCGAAAGATAATAAATAACAACATAAATAACAACAACAAAAACTGGACAATATTGGGGTTGTTGCTCTGGAGACGCAAAATTAGAGAACCCTGAATGAGCACATACTGACCGTAAACTATTTTTGAAAAAACGTAAAAGTGCATTGTGGTGGCAAATTAACAGTCCTATTGCGTTTTGTGCAAGGATTGAACTTCTAACAAAGACATACAGGTTTTAGATTTCTGGATTGGCATAATATCAGCTGAATATTTACATCTACATAGTCCAAAACATAAGGAAAAAAATGTCAATATTGCTCACCACTAAAACGGGTCAGTGTGAGAGACATAAACTCAGCATCAACAGGCATCATATGAACTGAGTAACTGGAGATTTGAAGGTGAGCGAGAACAAGATCTGGGACAGTGAGCTGGGGAAGGGCAGCAATAAATTTGGTGACAGGAGACTGTTAAGTATTACAAGGAACCTCTCAATACAGGGTATATGATATGTATTCAGATGCATATTCTTTACAAGGTGCACTTTGTAACTTGTAAGGTGGAAGATCCGCTACTTGCTTGTCTCCATGAAGATGTTATGTCTTTGCCTGGAATGTTCAACAGTAGGGTATTAAACATATCTCCCTTGCATTTGTTCAACTGCAGGTGTTTTATAGCTCATAAAGACCTTAAAAACTAAAATTGTTACCATGTGCAGGGTTGCTTCTCCATAGATCTGACAAGAACCTGTCTCCATTGTGATTACCAAGTTTTTTTCCATATCGTAAAATAATCAAAGCAAAACAGTAATATCTCAGTAATATCGAGACAAGCTGTTGACGGATCCTCCCCCGGAAAAGTTACATAGTGCACCTTTAAAACGTGCCTTAAAGAATTTGCCAAGTGTATGTATCATGCACAATTACAAAATGCACTGGAATTTCATGTTCCCAACATCCATTTCAGAAGAACACACTTGATTTATGAATAATTAACTTTTTCAGCCTAGCAGCATAGCCCTAAATGCAGAAGCCAGCAGGTAGTTTGTAACTTGGCAAATCATGATGAATTTTGATTGATTGATAGCATTTATATAGTGCCTTTCAAGATACCCAAAGCGCTTTACAGTTCATTATTCAGTCACTCCACACTCAGTGGTGGTAAGCTACTACTGTAGCCACAGCTACCCTGGGGCAGACTGACAGAAGCGAGGCTGCCAATCTGTGCCATCGGCCCCTCCGACCACCACAATCACACACGCTCACAGCACTTTCATACGAGGCAATGTGGGTGAAGTGTCTTGCCTAGGTACACAACGACAGGTTTTTGCCACTGGCGCCCCACTGTGGCACCTGGAATTCCTAGCGGTCTCCCATCCAAGTACTACCCAGGCCCAGCCTGCTTAGCTTCTGAGATCTGACGGGATCAGGCTTTTACAAGCCGGTATGGCCAAATACACATTTGTGTTGATTAAAAGTATAGCAATACAGCATCATGTATTGATGTAGAGCCCTACTGAGGGATGCTACAACCAAAAGATTTAAAATGTAAAGATGTTGTTATGTGACCTGAATAATAATAGTTATTGATTATGCTAATTTTAAAAGAATACTTTTTGCATTACATAGTGAAGAATATGGCATGTTGCAATATACCAATCATTTCTGGCTTTGTGAATATCTGCTGCCACTTGTGAGACAGGAGGAGGCAGAGACAGATGCTCTACAAACTGGGTCACAGAAACGTTAACACCAAGAGAGAGAAACTCCATCCAAGAATGTTGATCAATTGCACACTGTCTGGATGACAGAAATCAAACACAGCACAGTTACAGTCATTAGGTATGAGCTACAATTGGGGAAGCAACATTGTATAGCATAATAATCACCATTTCAGTGTTAAAATGTTCTTGTCTGTCTCTCTCCTTAATGCTTGAATCCAAAGTTCTGTCTGAGAGAGTCAGCGCACTTGCGTAAAGTGTGTGCTTTACTAATGGTTTAAACAAAGCTGCAGCAGTAGTTCAAACACTGTAACTGTTTGTTGATAGAGCAACTGAAACTGAAAAAGTCTACTCCACGTCTGTGATGTACTGATGTTGCCAAACAGGAATGGATCTGACATACACCAGAACTCATGGGCTGCTTCTTGGAAACATTAAAAACAAAGTTGAGGTATGCCCATACAGAGGACAGGTCTAGTATTCTTGGGTAAGAGTAAATGAGAAGGTTGGGAAGAAAAAAAAGCCTTTGTTCAAAGTCATCTTATCTGACACTAGATAAGTGTGTTGTAAATTATCTCACAAGGAAATGGACACATTTATTCCACACCTTCATAGATACAAGCCAGTGTGCACCTTTGAGTGTGAGAAGACTTCCTAATGCCTATTAATGTCAGTGAATTTGACAATATAATATGAAACCACTGACAACAATGGCTTTATCAGGTTAATCAGGTTTGAAGGCAGTTCTACACGTACTGCAAACTGGACCGAGACGACTGTTTGTCGGACCCATTATAATAAAGCTAAAAGTTTAATTCAAATATTGACGTCAACCGTGTACACCTATTAGAGAAAAAGAGGAGTGAGATCAATAAATACCAATACAGAGTGGGTGCAAGCCCAACCTTCTCTCAGCCTACTGACCAAGGTGTACCTGCTGCTTTTTAAAAACAACAGCTTTGCATCCCATAAACAGGTACATGGATGGATAGATATGTTTATCCCCACATCAAACAATTCTTTAATAAATTAGCTGAACAAAACTTGCACAAATGCACAAACCATAACACAATCACCATCCCCTCAAAATTTTGTGAAAATCTGAAGGGAAATGTACGCTGACAATTACATTGTTAAGGTACAAAGTTCACAATTACATAGCTTTGCGTAAAAATTTATACCAATATTTTGGGGGATTTCTTTTGTTCATAAAATTAACTTAATGTACGAAAATTATTTACCCAAAACATGACCTTATCCTTTAGCGCTAGACGGCTGCTAACATTAGCATCCTCTTTGGGGCCCCACATTTTGAAAGTTGTGAAAAGAAAGACTTACCACTTTGCTTCTTGGCCTGATGAATAATAAGATGGGTTCCCTTATGTGTGGCAAGTTACTATCCCGAGGATGTTTCTGTGAGAGGTATATTTATTTACTGATCTTTCAACTGGGTTGTGCTACTGTTAGCAGCTAGCTACAAGAGCCATCTGAAGCTGGCCCATTACGCACATTCTCCACGGTAGCTGTTCTCAGCTTGATAAACGCTGTACGCTGCGGTTACATCCATAAACATAAGTCTCCGAAATGTCGCGTACAGTAAAATCCAACGGCGTACTTGGAGCAAAGGGGTTCCAGATATTGCAAGATTTTACAAGACACATTTAAAAATCCAAAATGTCCACGACATTCATCAAGGAAATACAAAAGACAAAAATGCACTCGACCTCCGTGAGAACGAAGGGTTTTTCTCACGCATAAGCCGCACCCAGAAGTATATTGTCATTATTTCCTATCTCTTGATGGCGTGTAAATCCAGGTCTGGGTCAAAGAAAGCTACACGGATGCTCAATAACACGGTCGCACAGTGCTGGTGGACCTCTTCATCGCCCTGTGACTGCACTGCATTACCTTTGGAGAGTAGGCTGTCCTACATTAAGCTGATGCTTCACTGCCCCACTCCTTTCTGTACAGCATAACCGTGCTCTCACAATAACCAAGTAGTCTAGTCATTTAGTGGCACTAGAAGATAAATACAGTATTACAGAACAGAAGGTCTGTAGATTATTTGCCCAAAATGTTAAAGGATCAAGCAAAAGCATTATGCCATATTTGTGGGGACGCCTAGCAGGCGTCTGTTATAGGCTTATTTGTCCTCTTTCCTTGCTTAATTTATTTTATTTATTTATTTATTTGTTTTACTGGCGGCAACTGAATACAGTACCCTTTAAGTGCGAAATAGAATAATTTTGTCCATGGTATATGGTCTATGTCTATTGCCTATATGGTATATAGCGGCATTAGAGTAGGCCTACAGTATATTATTGTTTTACTTTACTAAGCTTTCAATTTGGGTTGACGAAACCCTTTTGTTGTTAAATATATTTTTAAGTTATAAACTATGGTGCCATGTATTTCATGTATTTCTTTCATTATAAAAGAAATGTGACAAATGTGTTTAGTCCATCAATACTATCTCATTAAGGGTTTATGTCCAAATAGTTGTGCTCCAGCCAAGAGCTGTATTTTCTCAAATTACGTTTTCGCCCAACGCTGCTTTGGTAGGCTAATTCTTGGATCACTTTTTGCTTGAGTTTTGTTTTGTCTCCCACTACACCCACCCACAAAGCAGCCAACCTCAACACACATTATCCATACCATAGCGCCCCCTTGCGAAAATATCTTCTGACCACATTATTTACCATTCACTTCTAGTCCAGTAGGGGCACAGTCTATCCAGTTCATCCTACATACACTGGACAAACGGCTCTCCATCATGGACACTCCTGCTCACCCACTGCACCAGACTACTTATGGACAGAGGAGCTTGTTCTCCAACAGGCTCCTACAGCTTTGCTTAAACAGTGGGAGATACAGGACTACATTCATGTCATACTCCCTACAACTTTTTTTTTTTTTAATTACTTTTTCTTTTTTTTTTTTTTAAATGAACATAAACATTCATATAATTATGCCTTATTTGACACCTGTCTCTTGCTATCTTTTTTGGTACTTTATAATGTATTATTACCATTTGTATTTTTTACTCTCTGTTATTAAGTTATATAGTGATATGTGAGCTACTGTGTTCAAATAATTTCTCTTGTGGATCAATAGTTAGTCTAAGTCTAAATGCAGTGTTTTTATAGGATTAACCTTCAGAAAAGAACATTTAAAATACAAATAATTATAAACAGTTTCATTAGATGTTCTTTATTTCTACAAAACCTACAAAAAATATACATTACATAATAAAATAAGAACATTTCCAAATATATTAACAAAAACAAAGAAATAGAACAAAGCCATGGTGGTGGTCATTGCAATACCAAATGATGGTAATATCAGGAAAATGGAACATGAGAAACTGGAGAAGTACCAGGGGCTCAAGAGCTGGAGAAAGCCTGGAAGGTGAAGGCATGTGCGCATGGTGATCAGAGCACTCGGGGCTGTAAGCCCCAAACTAGAGGAGTGGTTACAGCAGATTCCAGGAAAAATATCAGACATCTCAATTCAGAAGAGTGCAGTACTACGAAGACACTAAACAGCCCCCATGAGGGTGAGAGGGACCAACCAACATGAAAGCTGAGGAACCCTTTTTGTCTATATCTGCATCTATATATGCATATACAAGCTTCTCTGGAAAATACTTAAATATTGTTAATACTATTTCATGGCAGATGTTTTATGATGTCACAAAGATGGCACAAGACCTTTACACTGGAAAAATGCATCTTGACAAGGAGCACGTCCAAGAAATGTTTTCAGCATATCCATCCCATCCACAGAACCACCAGCTTCCAAAATAATCCTTCTGTACTCTTCACCAACCTGTAACATGTGACAACATGTGATTGGCGTGCCTTACCTTTCACAAAACCAATAATGTGTACCTTTGAATTCATGATTCCTTCTTTTTTAAAACGACTGAAGTATATATCCATGGAGTAGACCTCACTCCACAGGTAGCTGTAATATTGAGCATCATAGCCTCCAGCCAAGTGGCTAAAACTGGCTGTCATGTTAGTACCTGTAAAAAACACAGCAAATGCTATTTATATGTACTTCTGACATTTACAAAACATAATTAAATTATTTATAATTACCTGGTGTTGCTGGAACACCAAGAATCTCCTGGCAGTACTTTGCAAAGACATCTGCAGTTTTTGCACCAGGGTTATGGTGAAGATACTGATCCACCTTACTCAAAACAACCTGACGTAGATTCATCAATCCTATAATAAAGGCAATGAACAATTTTGTTTACAGCATGTGCAGCCCAAATCAGATATTTAAAAGAACATTTTAATATCTGGTAAGAGATACCGACCAGTGTTTGCTACTCTAGAAGAAATAAGTTTATCCAGTAAATTATCTGGGATTGGGCTTCCATCTTTGTAATGGCGAGACAATCTTCTCAGAGGCTCCTTCTCCCACACCCAGTTCTCGAGCATTTGTGAAGGTACCTCTACAAAATCCATCTCCACTTGCGTCCCACTAAATTCTGAAAACTTGGTCTGTTGCATAAATTACAGTTTAGCAATCTCTTACAGTAAGAAACTGCTTGCTCAAGCATAATGACCAATACTATAATAATAAATGTTTTACCTTAGAGCATAATTCATGCATAACATGGCCAAACTCATGGAAGTATGTCTCCACTTCGTGATGTTGAAGGAGCGAGGGCCAGCCTCTTCTGGGTTTGGTAAAGTTAGCAATCATGGCTGCCACTGGAATCTGCCGTTTGTCATCAGGTCTCGTACAACCCGGCCTCAAGCCAAAGCAGGCTGCATGTCCATACTTCCCTTCTCTGGTGGAAGATGTGTTTTAATTAATGAACACAGACAGCAGCTGGATCATCTTTAGATTTTGTACCTTGGATGCAGGTCCAAGTAAAACTGACCAATCTCCTCTCCACTCTGAGTGTCTTGTGCTGAAAAGAGCTTGACATTTTCATGCCACACATGTGCATGTTGGATCTCAGTGAATGTGAGGCCCAGAAGCTCCTGGTAAATACCAAACAGTCCTTCTGTCACCACATCTAGTGGGAAATATTCAATTAACTTGTCCTTGTTCACAGCAAACTTGAACTCTTCCACTTGATTCATATAATAGGGCAGGTCCCATGCATTAATTTGTCCATCGTAGTTGTAGCCCTTCATTAAACACTCCCTTTTCTTTAATGAAAGAATATATTTTCTCTCTTTGTTTCCGATGGGCTTCACCATTTCATAGAATGCATCTGTAATAAACAAAGTTTTAGATTTGGAAGCAAACAATCTTGTGTAAAAATGTATCAGTCATGGCTAAAATACGAAACACATAATTCATTGCATTCTTAATTACATATGTGTATTATCTTGTTACCACTTCAGTGAGATTATGGTGTCCGAAGCCATATAATTTAACATGACAGACATGATATATGGCGGTTGCACATGTACAGTATGTGTGCGTGTGCCGTGTTGGTGAACTTTTCATACCAAGAAAGTCAGACACATTGCTGGCATTCTTGGCCATGTTCATTTCCAGCACAAAGTTTACGTGGCTACTATATCCAAGTAAGCCTGCTGCCTTAGCTCTTAGTTTGATTAATTCTTCAAGGATCTCTGTATTCATCTGGAAAAAGTAAGATTTTATGTAAATGCGATGTACATTGCAGTAATGTTATGCACTATGAAAACTCTTGTTTAAAGAAGAAAGCTTAAGTTAATGAAATTATTTTGCTAAGAATAATAGTTACCTCCTTACACCTACTATGGAACGCTGTCTCCATCCTTCGACGTGTCTCAGGAATGTGACACCTTTTCATTAGGGGGAAATAATGAGGATATTTAAGTGTGACTATATACCGCCCATCTACCGTCTTTTCCAGTCCATTGATATATGTTTCTGCAAGGCCACCTTAAGACATAAAAGTCATAACTCACTTCTCAGCCAATCCTCACACTCAAATAGAGTAAATTATAAATAAACTTACTTAATTCTCGCTCAGTAAATACAAGAAAGGTGTTGTCCTCATTCAGATTCTTGTTAAATTCAATTGAAAGTTCACTAATCCTTTTAGAAATTATTTTAATATTCTTGAAAGGTAAATTAACAATTAATAAAAGACATTACATTTTAAAGACACTGGTGTAAATTTTACAGTATGTGATAAATACTTGAGCTTACTACCTCTTGAATATCTTTAGCCAAGTGTAACCCACTGCGTTTGCCAAGTGTAACAAGTCTATCCACAAACCGTTTTTCCTCAAGGCCGAGATCATTTTGGAACTTGGTCTGCAAAGGATTAAAAAATTAATAATAATAACTGTTTTTATTTATCCTATAGATCGTCACTAAATTGTTGTTTTAAGTGGGTCAGCCAAAGGCTCTTAAGCAGTAACATTTGGCATCTATAAATGATGGCCTCTTAAATTTCTTCTGCAGTCTATATGTGAACTAATGGAGGGATCAAATGAGGTGACACGATGTATCTACAAAAACATGTAGCAATATGAGTGACATAAAAATGTCAAATATATACTACATCATTGATTATGAGTTACGTCAACATGGATGGTGGTAAGTAATTAAAACTGTACCTGCAAGACAATAAGTCTGTTAAAAACATCTTCCCTCATATTTATCTCCACATCAAACTTGGACAGCCTCTTGTCAGCTTGTGTGCTTGCATCTCTGATGTCTTTAGAAGGACACACATATTGAGGGAAATCAAGGACATGCCGGGAGGCTAGAGGAGGAAATTATAATTATAAAGACAAACATGTTTAAAGATTTGGCAAGTAAATAGTATTTACTTACATGCTAAATCAAATTTAGCCATAGCTAATGGTTTCAAGGTGTTCTCAATACACACATCTTCGATCTTAAGAGATCCAATTTCATTGTAAATCTTGCTTATTCTTGTGATTATGTCATCAGTTTGTTTTTTAATCTGTTCAGGCGAGAGGTCCCATCTCATTGTGTACAAGTTTTGTATCTGGGAACAAGTTCGGGCAGGCATCACACATTTACTTTGGATGGTCATTTTGGAAAGAGGTTTGGAGAACCTGCAAAAAATAATACACTAATTATACATGTGTACAGCCTAACTATTACTCTTTTCAGATTAAATTAAACTACTCCTCTGCAAAACAGGTGGAAGCTTAAGTTGTAAATTCTTCAAGACATACTCGGTCACAGGGCATTCTTTCCTTCCTAAGCAGTGACCTTTCTCATGACCACTCAGTATACGGTTTCAATGCAACAGCAGCCTTTCAAAACACCTTTATAGAGCTGTAACTGAAGCTGCAAAGCCACTACATTAAAAAAACACAGCAATTTTGGCTGCTTAAAACGCTTTTAGATAAACACATTAAAATTAGCACTATAATATACATGAACGCTTTTAGTAAGAATAATTTAACCACAACAACAGAAAGATACGCAAAAAAGTGCATCATTAGTAGACTCCACTCACCTGTGTAATTTGTAAAAAGCTCGCAACGCACACATGCTAGCACAGCCATGCATTTCATCCAGTCCTCTTTCTTACTCTAGTGAAGTCTCTTCAGCAAAAGCTAGTACCTAGCACCCTCAGCAGTTGTTTTGGTCTGACTGACCGGTGTGGAAAATGCTTCTTATTTCCGCCGTTTGTGCGCAGTCGCAGAGGATGCACTTCTGGTCCATGATCTGGCTCCAGACTTGAACGAGCGCTCATGACGCGGTAAATGGCAAAGGCAGAGAAGCACTTAGGTAGGTGGGCGGGGGACAAAAGGGCGTCTTTAAGCAACATGCGATTCTTTAGGTATTGTGGTGGTGTGGCGCGCATTGCGTCCATCCTTTCCTCACCATTTAACTCTTTCAAGTGTCTGTTCTGTGCCATCACCAGGCTGCACCATCACCACTGCGCGGATGCAGAGGGATGACTGTATCTTGGCGATTTTACGGACAAGAATACATATGCGCGACCAGGAGCGTTAGTCTTTTCATTTGTCGATGTTTATTTAACATTTTGTGAGCGAATTTCTTTCCACTTTGGATGATGTTTTGACAGCCTATTACATCACGGTTGTGTATCACTGCATTTACGTGTGGCCAAACACACGCCGAGGGAGGAGTAAACTGTGCCAGCTTGGTCCTTGAGCATAACAACGCATGACATGAGCACGTGATGCTAAAATTTGTAGTTTATTTTTATTTTTGTGTGTGTGTACATATATATATTTATATATATATATATATAGAGAGAGAGAGAGAGAGAGAGAGAGAGAATTGCACTGTGCAACTTTTTTATGAGCCTATGGAAATGTTTTTGGATTGCCCGGTCTGCAGTATCTATCTAGCTTTTTTTTTTCAGTTGCAGGTGTTTATTATATTACTACTATATTACTGCAAAAATTGCCTGAACAGGAATCTCTCAACATACTTGCTTTGTAAATTAGCACCAATTTCTCACTATGGAGACTGACATGTGGAGCATAGCGGGAAAGCAATAACATTTCCATGGGGACAAGAGGATGACCCAACCTCAAAATAGTAATCTACTACCTACTGTCACTTTGTAGGTGAAAATGGCTGTGGAAAAGCGTCTGGCTTACTCAATTGTGCAATTTTTACGAGATCAAACCCATTCTGGAACCTTGAATTCTGATGAGCAAGAAAGCCTTGAAGGTCGATAGGTCTACTTATGTTCTTCAAATCTCCATTATTATTTAATAAATGACATGTGTACTTTTACAACAGTGGCAATACAATGTTTGGAGACTACGTTTAAGATCAGCTCTAGAGACAGTCACCTTGCTGTGTCTGAGCCCCTCAGAGAGATTTTTCATAACGCTTTGCTGAAGGTAGTGATGTCAACTCACTTATTAGCCAATAGTAAAATTCTTGGAATCAACATTAAAATATGTTCTTGTTTCCAATAGAATGACAATGTCACTATTCCAGAGACTTCTCCATCTCCAGAAGATATTGAGAAAGCAGAACAACTAAAAAATGAAGGTAATAGAAAAAGATATATGATCATTATTTTACAAGCCTGTATTGATATTATATTCACTAAACCTTATGCATTTAGGAAACAACCACATGAAAGAGGAGAACTACCACTGTGCATTGGAGTGTTACACAAAGGCCATTGATCTGGATTTGAGGAATGCTGTATACTACTCCAATAGGTACGTCCAATTACAATGTCTTTTCTCTCATTTTGTGTATATACTTATTTGTGACAATTGTATGTAAAAGGTGTTTTTCCACATTTCTGGCCACAGCTTTGTCTTGATCCTCCAATATATAAATAAAAAAATTATAATTGTATTGTAATTAAATATATGTATGTTGTTATCCATTTTCAGAGCTGCTGCTCACAGCAAGTTGGGTAACTACATAGAGGCAACTGGCGACTGCGAGAGAGCCATTAAGATTGACCCTACATATAGTAAAGCATATGGAAGGATGGGGTATGTACTTTTTTTTTTCTTGCGTAAGTACAGACCTTATATTGACTGAGTAGTTTATTTTGTTGTATTCATTTCATTTCTTTGGGTGTAGCTTGGCATTGACAGCAATGAACAAATATCCAGAAGCTATTTCATATTTTAAGAAAGCTTTGGTTTTGGATCCAGAGAATGATACATATAAATCCAACCTGAAAATTGCTGAACAGAAACACAAAGAAGCAACTAGTCCAGTAAGTAGAAACATTTAAAATACAATTTTGACTATGACTATTTATTTTTCTATTTCTTTGTGTGACACAGATAGCTGCAGGATTGGGCTTTGATATGGCCAGTTTGATTAATAACCCTGCCTTTATCAGCATGGTAAGTTCTTTAATTTTTGTTCAAACAAGAGGTTATAATATTTAAGATAACCCATTTTTAGGTTGTATGTTTTATGTAAGGTCTAATTTGTGTCTTGTTTGTATCTTACATATTGGCACTATAGTGTCTACACCATTTGGTATGAAGCATGTTTCTTTTCAACAATCCTGACCAGTTTGTTTGTACAGTTTTATAGATGCACATAGCACAGACCTGGGCAAGACTGTGGTCTGTTTTAATGCAGCCATGCACAATTTTTTAAATATTGCTATAGTGTTACGAACTGGTTCAGGGTTCGAACAAGGGAGAGTCCACACATGTTTAAAAAGAATACAAAAATAGATATTTATTTAAAAGCAAGGTGCAAATAAAGTCATGTCCGCGTGGTGGAGAGGAGAGAAGAGAGCGAGCAGTTTCCAGCAGCCAGTTTTTAAAGGTGGTGGGCCACACCCATAATCAGGTGCAGCTCGTTGGTTGGCCCTCCCACTTTGGAATCTGGAAGGGAGGAGGGAGAGAGAGCCCGCAGCAGCACAAACATGCACCCACAAATACTGGGTCATAACTAGGGGTGTCAAATTATCGCGTTAATTGCGATTAATTAATTACAGTCATATTTAGCGCGTTATGTTTTTTAATCGCGTTAATCTCATTTTTAATCTCTAACTTTAGTGTTTCTGTATGTGAGTTGCTTTATTATAAAACCTGTTTTTATGTGTTGTTGGGACAACAACACACACACGCACAAACAAAAAACACATTTATACATTTTTTAATTTCGGCAATTCCACTCATTATCGGAAACCCACACAAAACACGCGCAGTAAGAGCGACGTTTACGGCGTCAGTTGCACAATGGACGAGGTCGAAGAGCCAGTAGAACAGTGGCAGCAGTGCACAGGTAAAAACGCATTCGTGTCTTGGAAATTATTCTCCCGACGTGAAATATAAAAGAAAATAACAAATATAATATCGCCTACAACTTAAATGTCACTGGTGAAAACAACCTGCATAGACTCATGATGTCTGCACTACTGACCTATAGTGACCTGCCACATGAGGGGACACGCACACACGCACGCAAACACACACAAACACACACAAACACACACCTTCATCATCGTCATTAACCTGAGAACGCGCGGACCACGTTTCCTTCCGTAGACACTGCGCGGACACCGACGTGCTGCCGTGAGCCGCGTGTGGATCGTGTTTTCTCGCGTACGCTGCATAAACCGCGCTTCCTCCTGTGCGCCTCTAAACCAGAACTAACACCAAGACTAAAACCAGGACTAATTCAGTCCAGGACTAAACCAGGACTAAACCAGGTCTAAACCAGGACTAAACCAGAACTAAAACCAGAACTAAAACCAGGACGAAACCAGGACTAAACCAGAACTAACACCCAGGACTAAAACCAGGATTAATCCATTCCAGGACTAAACTAGGACTAAAGTAGGACTAAAGCAGGTCTAAACCAGGACTAAAACAAGGACTAAAACCAGTGATCTCATATATAAAGCATTTCTCTATCAATAATATTTTTAATATGGTTAAGGAAAGACTGGACTTTTTATTGTCTTTAAGTAGACAAAAGTTCAGATTTCCTCGTCTTTGCTACTTTACAGCAAACAGTTTCTTATTCATGGAGACTTGGGCTCAACAGCCAATTTGGAGAGATTTGTTAAACAATAAATGACTTTATAAAGTCACTTTTTTTAATCTATATCAGTCTTTTGATCTGCCACAATAATGTAATAATGAATTTAAATGAAAATACCTCAAATTGAAGGCTTTTCTCAGCAATTTTTAGGTGAGATTAAAATGAGATTAATTAGATTAATTAATTACAGATCATAATTAATTAATCTCTCAATTTTTTTAATCGCATGACAGCACTAGTCATAACATATAGTATAACACATTATGACAGTGTTTCCATAAAATACATGATAAAAAAGCCCGAATTAGCCAAGATTCTTTCTTTTTTTAAATTTCTAGTCCCCTGGATTTGTTACACCAATGATCACATTGGTCCAGCCCTTTGGCACATGCCTGGATTCGAATATGGCCCTATGGGAAAAAATAATTGCCCACCACTAATGTAGGCTTTTAGTATTAAGAGTTGGCCAAAGAGAGACTAGACAGATTTCTGTTTGTGTTCATAGGCTGCCAGTGTGATGCAGAACCAGCAGGTGCAACAGCTGTGAGTGGTCTCCTTTGTTTCACTGTACTAATGACCTAGCTTTTCTGTGGACAGACTTGAGTAACTATAAACATGTCACTGTGGGCAGTATGTCTGGAATGATGACCAATGCAGTTGGTAGGCCAGCCGCTGGAGTTGGAGGACTGTCAGACATTTCCAGCTTGATTGAAGCGTAAGTTTATTGTAAATGTTTTTATTGGTTTTAAAGTGTCAGTATTATTCAATTCCTTTGGTTTCATTTGACCCTGTCTGTGGTGCAAAGCATAATAATACATTAATTCATTTGTGCCCTGTCTCTGTCAGAGGGCAACAGTTTGCACAGCAGATTCAGCAGCAGAACCCAGAGCTAATTGAACAGCTGAGGAACCACATCCGCAGCCGCTCATTTAGTGGCAGTGCAGAAGAGCACTCGTGAGCAAAGTATGTATAGTAACTGAGATTAATTCAACCATTATTCTAATTTACAAATTTAACTATATCCTGTCCACAGCAGTCCACTACCTTTAAAGGCAACCCTATGGCGAGGATACAATCTGTAGACCCATTTGTTATTGACAACTTCACTGGAATGAAGAGAGGCATGAAGTTGAAGGCACTTTATTTAATGTGTATAAGTCATAGTGGTCAAGTGAAACTGGACCAGAAGAGACCACATCCCACTTGTATTCTCTTTCTGAGGAAAAGTGGTACATCTGCAAAATTTTCTTTTTCATTAAGCTATTATGCTTCAATGGTTCTTTTTATTGTGTAGACCCGGAAGCTTGTCATAATCTGTGAAATCTGAGGAATATCCTTATCATTAGGAAATATTTCTAATGGCATACGACATTTTAAAAGCATAACTGTTTATATAGTCTGATATTATTTTTGTAAATCTCAATTTGTCAATAGATTTTATTCAATGTCATGTACTGCTCATCAACAAATTTGTTTTAATTTCGTTTTTAGAATTGTACAGCCGAAACCATTCATATTATATTGCACCTTAGTAGAGAAAACTGCTCCTAAACCTAATCTGTCTTTACACTAGTGACAAGAGTATTGGTATTATTTATTTTGCATGCTCTAAAATCTAGTGTTTCAGATAGCAGTAATAACAAGAGTCATGTATGTCGGGATAAATCTTTTGACTTTGTGTAAATAAACATCTTGAAGTCTCATTTCATGGCAATCCAGTACCAAGAAGAGCATAGAAAAGCAAATATACAACACAAATTAGTGGGGACTCCGTCTTATGTGGGGACAAATTTCAAATGTATGTGTGAGAGAGAGAGAAGAGATATATGCACATGTCTGAAGGACAGCACAGAGGCACTGATCCTGGCTGCTCAGGAGCAGGCCCTGGGCACTCGAGCAATAGAGGCCCAGATCTACCAGACAAGACCCACGGTGTAGGCTGTGCAGAGAGGCTCCTGAGACAGTCCAGCACATAACTGCAGGGTGTAAGATGCTGGCAGGGAAAGCATACATGGAGCGACATAACCAAGTGGCGGGCATAGTGTACAGAAACATCTGTGCAGCGTACGGGCTGGAAACCCCAGGATCAAGGTGGGAAACACCTCCAAAGGTTGACCGAGCCAAGATCCTGTGGGACTTCCAGATACAGACGGACAGGATGGTGATGGCGAACCAACCAGACATAGTAGTGGTGGATAAGAAACTGAGCAGAGCCGTGTTGGTGGACATCGCAATACCAAGCGATGGTAATATCAGGAAAAAGGAACATGAGAAACTAGAGAAATACCAGGGGCTCAAGGAGGAGCTGGAGAGAGCCTGGAAAGTAAAGGCATCAGTGGTGCCTGTGGTGATCGGAGCACTCGGGGCTGTAACCACCAAACTGGAAGAGTGGCTACAACATATACCGGAAAAAACAACCACATCTCAGTCCAGAAAAGTGCAGTCCTGGGAACAGCAAAGATACCGCGCAGAACTCTCAAGCTCCCAGGCCTCTGGTAGAGGACCCGAGCTGAATGAGGGTGAGAGAGACCTACCTACCACTGTGGAAGGTGAGAAACACAGTTTATCTATCTATCTATCTAATTATATATATATATACATACATATATATATATATATATACACATACATACATATACATATATATATATATATATATATATATATATATATATATATATATATATATATATATATAAAATATAATATAATCTTTTTTTTTTTTATTAACTGAGACTAAAGTCTATGACATGTAGCAAGATCTATTTTTGCATCTTGCCTGTAAATAATCTTAAAAACATCCAGAAATCAAATAACAAGATTTTGGTGTGCGCAAAACTAACATTTCTTCAGGAGTGCAAAATCAGATCTGAAATACTGCACCAATGCAGCCCCAATTATAAGACACTGACAAATGTACATATAAAATCGGGAACTTTGTCTGATTGCTTTAGATATATTTTAAAAGCAATAGTGAAAACAGATTTTTATTATTTTTACACATACATAATCAATATTTTAAAACAGTATTTGTATTATTCACACTTCATTTTAAAATACAGTGGTAAGAATCCAAAGCGAAACATACATACTCGGTTATATTACTGGTCCTTCAAAATCTAAAATGCAACAAAATAAAATTCTAGCTCTCACTGCCTAAATATGGACAGACCACACATACTTGTGCAATATCATCATATTCATAGGTCCTCTTCAGAAATGTATCAGTAAGCCTCAATCCGGAAATACTCTAAAACAGACATAATAATGCAGGTAGAAGATATTTGTCCATGATAATTGTAAAAAAAAGTATTAGTAATAACCACTATTTTACCTGCAGTCCCTGTGCAGATGTGAGGAGTGCAAGAGGTAGAGACAAGGAGGCTCCAGGGCTCAGTTTGCCGAGCTGTCGTCCAGAAATACCACACCAGTGAATTGTTCTTGTATTGCACATTTCAAGCACCAAGTCCATTGTTCTTTCACTGAAGAATGCAAAGTTAAATATGATTATATATATATATATATATATATATATATATATATATATATATATATACACATACATACATATACATACACACACACACATATATACATACATACATATATACATACATATATACATACATATACACATTATATATCAATATATATATTTATATATATTTTTATATTAAAAATATACACACACAGACACATATATATTGTATTCTTGTATTTACCTGCAGTTAGTCACTTTACAGATAATGTCAAAAGGTTTCTCAAGATTCACTGTGTCAGGAATCATTTCCATTGATAATCTTATATCACCATACCCGGGGGCCTAGAGTCAATTGAGAATATTACTGAACAATAAGATAAAGCTCTAAAACTGTTTAAAAAAAAAAGAGAGAGAGAAAGTTTACAGACTATCTTCATAGAAAAGTCTTGAAATACCATTCTTTGCAGCTGGCTGGTCTGGAGTCTTCCCCTCTCACCGAGATTAGTCTTCCAAACAATATCAAGTTTTCCTATTACAGTCACTCCCTTTATTACTCCAGCCTTCTCAGCATACTCTGGCTTTGGCTTGAGACAATAAAGATACTGCCTTGTATCCATAGGCTGCAAGTATGACATCTTTCCAAATGTAGACTCTCTGGCAGTTGAATAAAGATGTTGGGCATCACCAAATTCACCAAAAACATGTATGTTGCAAGTATGCACAAAATGCATGTACCTGTGGTCACCGTTAGCAACAGTGTTGAGTTCTGTGACATTGTACATAATGGACGGCTCCAAAGAGACCTTCTCCATAAACATGGGCGAGGTGGTGATGTTCTGTATCTGAGCTTCCAGAAATACCTCATCTGTCTTAAAAGGTAAGGTGCTTTGTCATTTAACATGACATCTTATCTGAGGTGCATTGAGCAAATGTTAAGTTTGTTACCCATAAAATTCATTCCAGAGATGTACTATTAGTAACATAGTATTCAAGAGAAAACCAATGATAAAAGGCAAAACTGTTTTGCTCAGTGTACCTTTTAGGACACAGTGTTAATATAGAAGCAAAGTTGAGACTATATTGTGTATAGTGGCAGTTGTAAATCTCCCAGAACATTAAGAAACAATTTTAAAACAATTTAAACATTATAACCAACTATATATCAGATGAAATACAACATTCATTACATGTGTTCATTTGCTTATAAATGTGTGAGCTTCAAATTGTGTGGTTCAAAAAATGTGAGCTTTTTATTTATTTATAGCAACATAAATTGCCTATAAATTTGCATGAATATGGCTACCACGCAGTAATGTACAACCTCCAATATACACAAATACAGCTGGAAAAGCAATGAATCAAACATGCTTTTCATTTTCATCATTGCATTTGAGAATCAGATCAGCAATTCTTGCTCAGAACCATGCAAAGCCAACCATTTTAACTCAATCGCCATTTTCAAAAATAATGCAAAGCATAACATCGTGGTTATTTATCAAATTTTTGCCTGATTACATTATTCTTTTCCACCACAAATTATTATGAACAAAAATACTGAAAAGTGAGTTAATCATGAGTTGGCAAGTGTGGGCATCAAAGAAAGGACAAAATAAAAATTGTGGGAAATGCATTGTCATTTAAATGTTAATGATCTCTGTACTGATTTAAAATAATGCCAAGATAAAACTATAGAGAAGTTCCTCCAATTTTTACTTTGCACTTTTCATTTGACCATGAAGTAGGCAAAGAATGAAAAGAAGCTTATGTTGAATATTGACACAAAATTCAATTACCACAGAACTGAGGTCACTCTAATGGAAATGGAAATGAAATGGAGAAAAACAAAATAAACAAATGTTGTTACATGCCAAACTAATGGACAATGGACTAATTGACAACTACAACATTTTTCAGACGATAAGTCACACTTTTTTCATGGTTTGGGTGGTCTTAAATGGCAGTGCAACTTAATTTTCACACTGACAGCCAAGAGAGGGAACTTTCTAGGCTTCTGCTACTCCTATTACTCCTCATAGAACTATCATAAAATCTGGAAGATAAATCCAAGATTGTGTTCAATGGCCGTGGCGCATGGGCCCAAAAAAAAATTTCACTTCTGCATTTACTTCCTCAAAAGCGGCTAGCACCTCCTGCCCGTGTGACGTCTGTACCATGCACAGCATGAAGCGTTTGAACCAATCAGAGTGAGAGCTGCTGAGCACGGGCTCAGAGCGGGCTCAGAGCGGGCTCAGAGCGGGCTCAGAGCGGGCTCAGAGCGGGCTCAGAGCGGGCTCAGAGCGGGCTCAGAGCGGGCTCAGAGCGGGGCTAGGCTAACTCTTGAAAAGCAAAATTTTCGGCACTTTGAGGATTTCAAAATTTTAAAGTTTAGATTGTGAAAATAGAAAAGAATCCCTACAAAATCTGACCTTTGTGAAAGTTGTCAATGCCCTGTCAGCCGAACACAGGCAGCTTGAATTCCCAAAAAATGCATTACGTTTCTTATGTAAGAATTCTTTCTAGGCCCAAGCTCCTGGGAGCTGTAGTACCAATGGAGCGGCCACTAGTTGGTCTCGAGCCAGGAAAGAGGGGGAATGCCTAATCTAGTTATTATTATAGATCCATGTTACTCCTGTACCACTGTCACTTCGTGCTCTTCGCATATCTCCTGCAGAAAGAGCCACTGAAAATTCGAAGTGAGCGAGATACTTCTGACAACCAGGAGGTTGTACTATGCAACATTCCTGGAAGTCATTGGATGGATCGACAAAACATGGACCATCCTGTCGGGATTCAGAAAGGCCAGAATAATTCTCACTGGAACTGATGTCGAGTCTGATGACAGCTAGACAGTAGAGGCAGTGGCACTCCGTTTACCTCTGGAGGTCGCAGAGTTGCTCAGAAGTGACACCAAGGATGAAGAATTCGATGGATTTAGTGATTTGGAGTGAGATTAAGAGTTTGGTAAACCTGTTATCTTATGTCATTTATGCTATAGTTATCTGAATAACTGTTAGAATGTTACTAGACGCCTACTCAGCCTGTTGTTCTCTATTCTGTTGTTATTACTATAACTTGCCTTTCAAGATGAAATGTCGGTTCCTGGTCACTGATTTTATAAAATAAATTTCCCCCAAAAAGTGTGACTTGATATATATTTTTTTTCTTCTTCATTACTCAATTTTTGGCTGGTGCGACTTATAGTCCGAAAAGTACAGTACTAAAGTAAAACGAAAACAGGAAAAGCCCAATGAGATTTGCAGCTATAAAAAAACAATCTAAATGTTTTTAATGGATACTGGGGGTGTCCAAAGATAAAAACATATGTATTTTATCCCATAGTAAAATTCATCCAAAACACTGCTACAAACTACAAATGACAAAAAGCAATTAAATCATTAGCTTACCTCTGCATTGTAGAACTTTGTTTTAACATCAAGTGGTTTCAAAACCTGGTTAAAAATAGATGGCATACTGAATACTGGTGTTTTGTCTGACTGTCTCTCCATTAGGAAAATAGCTCACAACATAGAAAAACAAAAAGAAGAAAAGAGTGCACTGGGCAAGAGGAAGAGAATGGGGTTTTAAAGCTAACTACTAAATGACTTGCACTTAGGCTTGTGCTGTTATACACGTGTGGCATTTCTCACAGTTATACAAAGTTTCTAACTCTGTTGTTTGTTTATTGTGTATGTATAGCTCACCTGAAATTTAAAAAACTTCCGAAAATAGAGTTTCTCCCCATACTGCGTGGTATAGCTTACAGCACAGACTAGGCTGGAAATTAAAAAGGCACAGAAAGATGAAAAGTTGAAGTAGCATCATGAAGCAAATATTCATGTAATGTAATGTAGAAGATGGATCTCACATGTGTGTTCCAATTTCCTTTACTTCATGATGAATGACATCATCAATACAACATTCTGGTTTGAGTTCTGCCACTGTAGAGTTGGATGCAGAGAGGTTAAGCCTCTGTGAACTGGTTTGTAGATCCGCCTGTAAACAATAGTGAACTGTAAACAGGAAGTAAAAATGTGTTTTATTTAATCACTAACCACATCTAACTTCAACATACCTTCACAAGTATATCCTTTACTACTTGATTACTGTCATTGTGCACACTTATGTAACTGGAAAAGGTCTCTCCCAGGAAGATATTGCTGATAAGTGCAAATGTACAAAAGTAAATAACACATTACAATATTCAACAAAATATAATATTAAGCATTACCCAAAGTTTTGTGGTAGGGTAAGCATCTCTCCCAGCATCAATGTCTCTGCTCCTCTAATAGTTGAGGGGTCATCTCTCATAAGCTGGCTAAACAAATCTCCTATTGAAATTTAAAGAGTGAATTTTTAGTATTATGTTTTACTGTAAAACAAGAATCAAGATTAGAAATCAGCCAGACCCAGACATGTCACTAAAAAGTCAAAACTATGATCAAAGTAAGGTTGCTACAGTTAAGCCCTTAAGTTTTACGATATCTCTTACTTAATTTGACAACAACACTACAGTTGTATAAATAACTATTACTCGGAAATGTTACTGTGATTTATGGCCTGCATGGAGCTCAGTTACCTCTGCAGCCAGCATGTTGGTGTGTTATGTGCTTGGGCCAGAAAAAACAACAAACACTGAAATCTTAGAGTAGGCTTGACTTGATTTGGAAACTCTAAAATCAGCAGAAACCTCCAGTTAAAGGACCGCCTAAAATCCTGTGTGAATTTTTCTAAACACCTCAAAATTGTAATAATAAAATATTATTATTGGGTTCGTATGGTTCTTGGCTATTTGATCTAGGTACCTAACAAGCAGCATGAAAGCCTTCCAATGTCTAGAGAAGTAGTAACCAAATCTCCCCTGATGGCAGGGGGCTAGCCATCTTTAATAGTATACCAGAAATGCCTTCCATGTTATCCGCTTGCCCTGCTATGCTCGCACTGAAGACAGACAAGACAAGATAGACAAGTGCTTGATTTATATTTGGAGACTCACCAGGCAGATCACGCTCCTCACATGTGACTGGTAAATTTGTGAATAGTGTTGGTTTTGTTAAACGCATTACTGAAATATGGAGAAAGTGACAGGAGTAAAGTTAATGTTATGATACAGGTATTTGTACGGCAATATGAGTAATACTGAACCTTGTTTACCATCTACGTTTTTATTATCACCTAATCAATAACTGTTCTACAGGAAGATTAGATCTTATTCTAACAGTAAGACAAAGCACGGGCATTGCCACAAGAATGTTTGTTCATGTTTGCAGCTTGCAGCTTTATGATTTCCATCTGAAGGGTGAGTAAAATGCTGGCTGATGGACTATCACAGCAATAACATTCAAATCCTACGGTCGATCCACTTTTAAAAATATAAAAAATACTAGTCTATCACCATTATCTATTAAGAATAGCAACGTGATGTCGTTATACCTTTTAATGCGAGTAAGTGTTCCTGTTTCGTTTGATTTACATCCATTTTGAAGGAATATCGGCTATCTAGCTAAAATGCTAGTTTGATATGTAGCTTGACTGTACACTTTGACCTTTACCGGAAGTACATTATCTTTTCCTCCTTTTTTCCTTATAGTACAACTATGGATCTGCTACAACTTGCATCTCCCTGATTGGTTTACTTAGGATTGTATTTAGTTTGAGTAAAAATTATTAGTAATTGAACACAATTTATTTTTAATAAAAAGCATTATGTAGAACACGATCCATGCCATACACTCACAACACTGACCTCATGTGGCTAATTGCGGCATTACCAAAAAAGGGTAGACGACGTCAAGTAAATAAAGGCTTTTTTATTAAATTGTACAGAATTATTCTTTGTTTTACATGATGGGCTAGAATATGTGTAAGTGTAAACTTCTTGAAAGTGTTTTTCTTGGTGTCTTGTTCTTTCATATGATGAAAAGGGTGGAGATGTTCATGGGGTGTCTTCACTAAGAAGAAGCTGCAACATTAACACATATTAATTGGGGAATTAAGAAACAGTAAATCTAGACTTACATTGGTAACTTACGTAGGCGTTTTCTGGGCCTTCGTCTTCTGGTCGCTGCCATTTCTTAACAAACAGAATTCCAAAGATTGCCATTCCAAAAGCCATAATCAGTATCCCCAGGAAATTCACAAACACTGCTTCCACGGGCAGTGCATTGTACAGGGCTGCACTTATCCCATTTCTACACCAGGGAAATCAAATTTAGGATTATGAAGTTTTGTATTCAGATATTCAAAAGCTGGTTTGCATACAGAGTTAGGAGCAGTTTCTCATTGATGCCACTGATGCAGGAGGCCAGGCTGAATACCAGAATAATTCTTCCCATCCAAATATGCACAGGTTTCAGAAAACTTCGCATCCATGGTGGAGAACAAGGTAACAAGAAACCAATCGAGCCAAGTATCCACTGAATAATACACACATATGTTAATACTTTTCAGAAGATTGTGTAATGCTATCATAAACATGTGCTTGTTTACCATAGCCTACCTGAGACGCAAACAGGAGCACAGTGCTGATGCCCACCCAGCTGTGCAGGGAGTACATGTGTGGGATGTTGAATCCTCGATGGAAGTCAAAGACAGCACTCAGACCAAGTATTGACAGGAGGAGGGCCACAAACATCATTCCAGCATGGACCAATTTACAAACTAGTTTCCTCTGCTTCCAGGTGAATGGTATGCGATACACAACTGCAGCTGTAATACACACAATAATCAACAGTTGCTGAAACTAATGACTATAATTTCTATTTCTGTAAGAACAGTATATCTTTTTGTCTCACTCTAGGGCCCATGTAATGACATTATGCTAAATGTTTAAAGTTGAAACTATTTTCATCCATTAATCTCATACTTACCATTTCCATAGAGAATGACTAGTCCAGACACCATCAGCACAGGATGCCAGTTAAAGTGTAGTAGTGATCTATCCCAGGCAAACCCACCTCTCCAGTGAAGATTCCAGATGACCACAAAAAGTGCACAGAGCAGGCTAAGACACAGACAGAATCCATAGAAAAAATAGAAAATATGGGTCATTTTCATCCGAATTCTTTGTTAGCAATGATTGGGAACCCGACACTATCTTCTGTCTTCTTCTGTCTAAAGATGTTGTTACACAAGGAGCCATTCTTCTACATTAAAGAAATGTCATTAGTCACAGTTTTGTGTCATTATGAAATCCCAAAAGATGCTTTCATAACAAAAAGAACTCAGATCTTTCATGTAAAATATTGTATTAATTTATAGTAAAGGCATTTGCAAACTTTCTGCTATGTTTTGATAAATTATAGGTGACCCAAATTATCATTAAACTTTTGTAATATGCAAAATAGCTGTTTTATAGTCATCTTTTGTACATTCTTGCTAAGAGACAGCAAACAAACTTAAATGGACACTTTTTATTGCCTTGATGCTGAGTTTAATACAAATATGGGTACTAAACATTGTAAACCAATACACACATGGGAGAAGGCAGAGTCATGTTTTGTATGAGTTGTTTGTAGCAGATTTCTTCATCATCATCATCTTCCACAAAGACCGACACAAAGTGGTTTCGGACCCAGGGCACTTCCAGTGTCTGAGAGGCCTGAACACGGGTGCACTTCATCTCTTTCCTAAAGATGAACTTCTTGCCCCCTGGATACGCCACTGCCTCAGCACTGTCTGACGGAACGTTTGCTGTTGATACAAAGGCATCCATCTCCAGGTTGGTTTCAGTTACATAAACACGCACATTAAATTGGCTCTTGTTGATAATCTGGCAGGAGTCTGTGACATTTCCCATTTTGTACAGATGCTAAGGTCAAGGGAGGACTGTAAGAGAAGGCAGATTACAAACATGATCTATTACAGGCTGATGTGAGTAAAACATTTCTCATATCTAGTTAAGAAGTCTAAAACATTTTCTTGGCAAAGCAGTCACTCCTATTATGTATGTACAAGTTTATGGTGTTGGCTGTCCAGGCAAAAAAAATATATTAAATATTAGAGGTGCCCTACATAACTTTTCTGGAGGAGGCTTCCCCCGTCTGCTTGTCTTCGTGAAGATGTTATTGCTTTACCTAGATAGTTTAATAATGCCATTCTATAACACAATCTCTATTTATGACGACAAGCAGGCAACAAGTTACAGGTCAGATCTGTTGAAAGGAGACTCTGCTCAAGGTATTATTTAGCTGCTAAAACACCTGTAATTGAAAAAAATGCAACATAGATAAGTTTGCTACCATACTGTGAAACATTTCAAGCAAAACAAGACAATTTCCTATAGCACTGCTGGACTTAACAGTGAAATTTTCCATACCTGCTCCTGCTGAACGATTAGTGAGTTGATTATAGCCCAGCCTGTGTACCTGCCTTTAGCCAGCTAAGTTTTAAAGATAACATGCAAAGAGAGCAGGGCCATATACTTTATTGAAGAGCTCAATAATGTCGAGGCAAATGGATGTTTCCTAAAAAAATACCTACCACATTAAAGTCTACTGTACTTAACTTATGAAATAAAACATTAATGATTCATGTATTGATTTATTAAACATTAATGAAATAACAATATGGGGATTTCAGGAGTTAAAAATAACATAACTTAATTATTTTCTACTTTTTAGACAACTTTTTGACACTTTTGTCGCCTGAAGTTCAGGGTAATTTAATGCCCTCCCTTTGTAATACAGCCTATAACACACAAACATATACTGTTTATAATTTTTTTAGGTTGTGAGATCAATACAAAATACAGCCAGAGGATCCTTGGTAAATGTTAATCTTTTTACACATTTGTTTCACTAAATTGTGATTTTCTATAACCCTCTACCTTTGCTCTGCTGTTCAAACACTGTGTTTAATCAGTTTATTTTTGGTGTTACTTAACATGCATGTCCTACTTTTGCATATAATCCAGTGAGGATTTCCCATTCATTATAATAAACACATGGGGCTTTTAAAAGACATCTTTCCTGCTTTGGGCCCTGGTTTACCCCTCAGTCCGACACTTTTTAGCATCCACTGTATTTCTGCATATTCAAAGTACAATGATAAAGAAGAGAAAAGATAAAACAGTCACTCTGTACTGCCACTCTTGTAACTAGCTGCACTATGGCGCTATACTTCCTGCTTCTCTCTGTGCTGTTTCCCAGCCCAAATCCCCAGAAAGACGTCAGATTGGACCAGAGTCACTTCAGCTGTAGACTGTGGAGAAGACCCCACAACGGATATGGTTTTCATACACTTTGGTTGCAGGTTTTTATGGGTTGTACATATGGAGTACAGGAAATGCCAAAGACTTACATAATACATAAAGGGAGAAGAGACATCTGGAAGCCTGATCCATTACAGGTATTTAAACTACTGAAAGCATTATAATAAACAATGTACATGTATTTATTTATTTTTATTTTTTTTTTCAGATTATTTGTAGTATAAAAGGGCATGGAAGTGTAATTGCTGATGCAAACCTAGACTTCAACCCTCATCTCGGTGATGGATTATGGTCAGTCATGTTTAATACCAAAGGAAAATTTAGAGTGGATTGTAAGCAACAAAAGTCTGTTGTATTAAAAAGAAACATGGTATTACCAATTAAAAAACTATTTGGAGTGAAAGAAAAGAAAGAAGCAACAAACATATTACAATTCAAGAAAGTAAACACCAGTAAACATTTTCATGAACAAGAAGTTTCAATGATTCAAAGAAAAGATTCATTTCAGAAAAAGAAAATACATTCAGTTGCTATGATTAAAAATCAAATTAAACAATTTGTACCCATGACACTATTGAAGACCAAAACAAAGGTCAATGAAAATTTGCTAAACAAATATAAAATGCCAATCATGCATATTCAAGCAAAAAGGCAAACAGATCCTCATCAGAAAATACAAACTACAAAGACTATGTATGTAATTGAAAAACCAGCCTCACACAAGGAGAGCATCAAAGCAAAAAGTTTGCTAAGTGTGACCAAACAGAAGGGAAGTGTATTTTATTCAATGAGAGATGTCAGTAAAGCATTGAAAATAAGACATCTACCCAAACATAATATTGTGTCGGACAATATATATAATTTCAAAAAACTGTCAGACAAAACTCCAACTCTGGTCACAACTGCAACTGCATTACAAAAAATAAAGAGTGCTGCAACAAATCTGAAGATGCAGACTGCAGTAATTACAGAAGACTATAATGGTGAATGGGACACACAACCTGAGCACCAAAGCACCAAAACAGAACTGGAGATTGACCCTGAGCTGAGATTTATAACAAAGGAACAAACAATAACGCCTCAATCTACATCTCAAACGCTTGGACTGAGAATGAGAGAAGAATCATCAGATGAAAAAACTGTAGAAGAGGAGGGAAAAGGCGAGGTTGAACTAAAAAATGTAAGAATTGTTTGACTTGTGATTCAGAAATTGGTATGAATGTCTGAGTTTCCTAATGTTTATTGCAGGCTGGAGACAACCCACTTTGTAAAGGACTAATACATCAGACAGAAGCTGGACTGGTGCACTGCAAAGACAGACTGGAAAAATCTAACAGGAAATCTATACACAGAGGTCTTGGTGGTAGAGAATCACAGAGTTTCCACACTGATGAGAGTGATGGTGCAGAGTACGATCACTTCTACTATTTTGACGGAGTCCTGAAGAGAGTGAAAAATAACCCCATAAATCAGCAGTTCTGAGTTGTCTTCAATTTTATGTCCCCCATAATTGTGATAGTCTGTGGGTTGTATTTTGACAGTTTAAGTCAGAAAAAGCTCGAACAAGAGAAGCAACTAGAACTAGAAAAAACAAACACAGACTCATTTGTACAAAATATTTATTAGAAATGGACATAAACAGATTGGATGGCATAATTTATATCTGAACCCAATGAAGCCAGCTTTAACTGAGAGAAATGTGTAGTGGATGTAAAATTGACTTGAATAGCTCAGGACACACAATTGAATTGGCTACAACACAGAAATCTTACAAAAACAATCAAACGTCAAGTGCCACAGAGTAAAAGAAAAATGTGCTATAAAGCTGACTCACTGAATTGCTTCTACTACATCAGGACAGATCAAGAGCATTTCATAGTATAGTGCAATCGATGAGTTACAGAGAAATGGTCAGTGAGACTGAAGTTTGAACATCTCTAAAATATGATGCAGGCTGCATTTTCATAGTCTGTCAATAGATGGCAGTGCCAGCACTGTTGCATCATTCCAATATATATTTTAAACTCTTTTAAACTCTGTACATTACTGCAGAACAATGGGCTCAACACAAGATACAAAAACAAAAGAATTGGCAGACACTCTGGCTGGTGTATCTGTTGTTCTTAATAACTTCATCAGTCACTAAATAAATTCTGGTTTGTTAATAGCCTTGTTTCATATATACAAATACACTTTGCAAAGATGTACACAAATGTTGGGGCAATATGTTTTAGCTTTGTTTATCCAGAAAAGTTTTCCTTCATCTTAGTCTATTCTAACCAAGACAAAATGGTCAGTACCTGCATCATACTTGGTCAGTCGGCTTGCTACAGACATTGCGATTTTTGAAATGACATATTGTGCATTGCTAGGCTGTGTAACTTTCTGATATTTCTGATTATTACCATCTTAAAGAAAATTTAGCATGTAACAAACACAACGATAATAAATGGCACATTTTAACCACACATCTGATCTCAGTCAATTTAGCCTTGATCTAAAAAGCATAATAGGTCACCTTATTTGTGTTGTTCAGGGTGTATAGGTTGGCAATCTTATAAATAATGTTCATTATTATTCACTGCAATAAATATATGAATAAATAAATTGACCTTTGAACTCTAGACCACACATCATTATAACAGAAGTTATCAGGAGAGAGACACAGCTTGTAAAAAAAAAAAAAATCCTTCTCATAGGGCTTCTTATCTTAACATAATTTGGATGTGATTTTTTTCTGAAATGAATAAAAATTTCCAAAAATCTCTTTTAAATGTAATGTTACCATTACTTTGACACTTGGTCTCGATTTGCCACCATTTTCATTAAACAGAAACACCTAAATATACAAACATTGTGGCTTGAATGTAGTTGACATCCTACATGTGCCAGAGGTCAGTGCATTGAGAAGGCACTGTATTCGTGACAAAATCGTGCCACTCCTACAAACCAGTGTATATCCTTGTCCTTAGGTCATGTATAATGTTCTGGAAAGAGAACCAGATACGTGACACACGCCCAGAGACGTCTCAACTTTCAGTATTTTTCGGCTACTGTTGCTAGTACAGTACAACCAAAGTTTTAGCTTGTAGATGTGGCTAGCTTCATACTCAATAACTTTCAAAAAGCATATCAGTCTCTTTAAAAGCAATATGGACCACAATACTTATATTTCATTGTCTTATGGTCCACGCACACTGAGCACTCATCCATATGGCTTCCCCTTTTTTCTTTTTGAAACTACTGGCTTTGAAATATATGGCTGTTTAGCCATAGAGAGGTAAGCCTGTTTTTCAGACACAATATCACATTCTGACAGTGTCTGTGTGCTTTTAGATTTGCTAGTATTCAGTATGCTTGAGTCTTTTTCATGGTGTGTCTGCATGCTTGTAGTAGCCCCTCCTGAGTGCGGCTGATGCAATGTTTTCAGCTGATCGCCGCTGGTCCATGCTGAGCAAAGCGTCCAGCAAGTCATTGATGTCTGCCTTGAGTCCCTGCCTCTGCATCCAGTTCTTGAGCAGTTCATAGACTTTGTCACCAGGGGGCCCATTCTCAGCAATGCGAATGTGGTTGTCACTGACACCAATCATCCTAAAAAACTTGTTGTGAATCCGCACGTCCAAGTATTCGTCAAACAAATCAAAGCTCTTCTTGAGGGATTTTTCCGACCCTGCAAAAACAATGGACTGTTATGCACAGCAATTTACAAACACTGATACAGTACACACTTTTCTAGTTGTATGACAAAGAACAAAAGTCATTATTTTAACAAAGCCACATTCTGTAAAATAATCGAATACAAGAAACATTATGTTTCTATCTTATTACCATGTAAAATAATACTGAACAATTGACTTCAGGGAATGTACAGATAAAATTGTATTGGGGGATTGAAATAACTTTGTTAAGCCACGTGGTCTCTAATTTAGCATGAAGCACAACAAAAAGCAAAAAAGGGAGCATCTTCCAGTCGCCTGAGGGCTTGTGGATGGCCTGACTGTCATGAGATTATTAATCTATCATGCAGTTAATTTGAGATCTGCAGTACAGATTGCTTGAACTGTTTGTGTACTGAGTTGAACCAAGAAAACTCTGCTTTTTCCATGTACACATTGATTTTGGGCACTTTGAATTTTGGCACAGTGAATAACTGCCTAATTCATTGTGGTAAATTGCTTTATCACTATGTATAAATAACAACAAATGAATAAACTTACCTTGTAGAGGCACAAGTCGTTGCTCCAGAGGATTGTCCTGTAAAAATGAAATAGAAGTGTTTAACAGTTTTGACTGTTTTAAAATAAAAAAGAAAAACAAATGACTAAATGAATTTGCCTAACACACCAGGTTTATCTGAAAATATCAAAAGTGACCAGACCAAGCTCAAAACTAGGACAAATAACACACTACACTTGAGTCAAAACAGGACTAAACCAAGGTCAAGGCTGAGAAAAAACTTCAAACTTATGCCCCAAGGAAAATAAAACAGCCACCAGTGATTACTTTGGGAAGCATTTTTTATTAATGGATTAATTAGATTAACATGACAGATGTTAAGAACAGTTCATGAGTCAACAGTAATTGCTCTTACAATGGCAGCAGCTGTGAGCCTGGGAGGAGAGGGGCTTGGATGTGGTGAGCTCCCAGACGAGGCACCTGTGGGCAGGCCTGGCAGGCTGGTTTGAGAAGAGCTAGTAGTGTTGGGTAAACTGTCCCCAAGTCCACGATCCTCATCCTCCAGGGGCGGAGAGGCTTTGCTCAGCCCAGACTGGGTCTCCTGCAGCAGCGGCCGAGACTCAGGACGGGGTTCCTCTCCCTCCAAACCTGCATTCTGGTTGTTTTGTCTCTCCTCTGTAGTGTCCCCACTCTCATCCTGATCCCAGTAACAAGCATTGATTACACACAGATTCAAATTTTATGGAGAAAAAATTAAACAATATAACCTAGGATTCAAACAACAGGAAAAAACTGTTCACTCACAATTGGAATCTTCACAATCTCACTGGATTCACAGTGACTCCCAGAACCTATTAAAAGCAGAGAGCCTTAGTCATGAGCCTAAGCTATTACATAATACAGAATGTAATGAATCAAAACTTACATGGTTTTTCACATGACTGCTGTCTCATTAGAAACCACCAAAGAGCAACTCCAATTATAGCTATGACAATGATCACAAGGATGATAAAAATGGGAATAACTGCAAAACAAGCATTGCACGTGAGGTCCACAACAAATGCAATCACTGATAACATATCAACAACTGTCAGGTGAAGGATTTACCAATAGATGATGGAGAGGTGGTAGTAGGAATAGGGGCAGATGGGGATTTCGGAGTGGGAAATGGGTCCCGTTTTCGGCAAACTGTGTTGGAGAAGGGAGTGCATTGTTTCACTTCTTCTTCTCCTGGTTTGCATCTACAAACACAATATGTGTTATTTAAAAAAACAGGGTACTTGAAAAGGACATGATTAAAGTGATTAAAGGCACTCACTTTGCACAGCGTTTGCAGACCTCACAGGCCTGGTCCGGGACACAGAATGTGCCTGGTTTACACTGACATCTGGTGTCAGTTGTGGTGGTGCAAGAGGCAGTTTCAATCTCATCTGTGGCAAGACAAGAAATAAATAACTCAGTTAACAAAAGAATATTTAGTGTTTTACTCCAAGTAAACATAAGCTATAATTGAAAAAGTTAGACATGCACCTACATTTACAGACATTTGGGAAAAAAATGGCATCAATGACTAAACCAGACGTCCTTTACACCAGGAAGTCCTTTAACAGACTCCACTTCCAATTAGGAAATGCCTGAATGGGCTTTTTCTGTACTGTTATAACTTTTCTTTTTTTAAATTATAATAACTTAACCCTTCTGACATGTAACCGCTACGGGACAAATAAAAGTTTGTATTAGTATTATTTAGTTTAGAGACATATGGATCCAGTTTTTTCAGTTTCAATACCAATTTCAATATTATAGCTTTAAACCAAATATCAACCAATACCAGTGCAAAGGCTGAAAACATAATTTATTACCAAGTGTATTATGTAATTGTTATCTCAGAAATATCTACTGAACAGTTAAGTGTAAATAGTTGCTAGTTGCATGAATGTATATGTTCAACCAGGATATCGGCTGAATCGACATTAACAAGCCAAAATTTTTCAGTAACTGTTCCGATATCCGATACCAATGTCTAATTTAGTTATTATGGAAGACATTGAAACATAGTAGAAGATCAAGCAGTTTCTTGAACAATAAATACAATTTAATTCTGAATAAAAACATAGCAAACATAATTATAAAATGCTCTGAGTTTGTGTATTGGGACCTAATTTGTTTAATAGTTTTAATAGTCAGTGTTGTGGCCTACGGCACACAAGTGTCTTGGGCAATTTTAGAAAACACTATTTCCATTTATAAGAAATTATAAACTTATTAACTGTGAAAGGATGTAACACAAAATGGTTTTAGTTTTAATACAAAGATTCTATTGATTCCTCTCCCTCTCTGAATCATAAAACTAAGCTATCATAAATTAAAAGTCTTATATTTTAGCTTGACAGTGCTAATCTACCATGATTGTCCAAAAAAACTTGTTAAATATGTTGATAGTTAAATGTGACTAATTGTGGTGTTATTCTTCTGTACAGCATAGATACTTGGTTCTAGTCTCTGCTTGGCTGCTGCTGCACATTGAGGAAGCCCTCTCACTCATTCCTTACATATCAGATCCATGAGCTCAGCCAGTGCATAAGTACTGTGACCTTGACCTTTACAAACCAAATCTATCTGTGCCAAGAACTGTCAAATGGAATTCTATTATGGCATTTCTCAGATATCTATTGTTTGATGATAGAAGTGTGGAGGAATCATTCTACAACAGTGTGAAGACTTGATGAGCCTTTGAAACTTTATAAGATTGAGGGAGAATTGTTTTCAACATTGTTTTTGTTATATGACAAACATACAATTCTTAGTAGATATTGTTCTTTTGAAAACATCATGAAACAGTCAGGCAGATGTCCATTTAAAAATACAGTAAAATTTGTTTTTGACTTGAAGCTCTAAGGTTCTATTGCCTGGGGCACAAAGTACTTGTTTACAAAAAGCTTAAGCATTCAAACTCAAATTCAAGTCAATATGTAAATCTCCGAACTCTGTATAAACACGCTTTCTCTGCATCCTGTCTATTTGAATAATTCATGCAGTTTTCGTTCTCCAACGCAATATGAAAAGTACTGCAGCTAAAAAGAAAGGGCACAGATTAGATTTCCTGTTTGTGCACAAGAAAATAATAAATATTAAATAATCCAAATGGACAATGTAGCTAAAGTGCTTTTTCTTTGGGCTGAATAATAATTAAGAAGATGTCAAAAAGTCAGAACTAGCACACAAAGCTCTTTTTTAAGAAAACACAGGACAGGGCTCCAAAACACATCCTATGTAACAGTAGTCTCTTTTCTGTGGCTCCAGCCTTTCACAAGGGCACAAAGACGCCCCAGTGTGGAGACAATGGGACAGCGCCACACCCTGTGCAGCCAGGTAAGACACACACAGCAGCAACTCTACAGGGACAGCTAACATGCTCGCGCAGCGCACTGAGAACAAAACAACAAAGACACTCCCTGCTACTCCGTGTAACATCATAAGATCACATTTTCATGAGTGGGTCCGGCAAGGCGGGGGCACACACAAAAAGGTATTGACTTTCCCAAACAATATAGTATCTTTGGCAAACTGGTTTGAGGAGCAGTCTTTATTGATACCATTTTAAAAGCGCTGGATTGAATTATAGGACAATTCAGTTAGAGAGCTTTTATTTAATTTTGCTCCTGTCTGAACCTGGTGTGTACAACTTTGTAGTGTTTCATTAAAAATGGATCAGGGTCTGATTGTTGTGATTATACCTTTGCTAATTCTCACTGCATGGTCAAAGAGATGCAACATCTTTTAATATCACCAATGTGCAGAGTTAATCACAGGGTGAGTCCCTAGATTATAAACTTTTGGATAAGCTAGCAATACCCACAAAAAATAATAAAATACTGTGGTGTACCTAAGCGGCAGTGAGTACAAGGCAAACAGCGGTTCATCCCATTGGAGTGCTCCGTGTAGGTCTGTCCATGTTCACAAGGGAGGCATGTGCCCTGTTCCTGGTCCCGTTCACAGGCCTTCTGCACAAACGTTCCTGAAAAAACAGTCATGGGTGCCATTGTGTCAGAGTCAAATTAAAGGAATACTGTATACTGATGTTAAGTTAAAATATGCTCAAAATACAAGTGCAGTATTGTTTTGGGAAAGTTTGAAATAATATAAATACTATTGCCAGGAGTTTAGCCATTTCATACAGACTCAATACTAACTGTATAACTACGCATCTATAGTTGTCCAACACTATACACTATACACACACTATAACATTTATTTTGTCTGTTTTGGTGGTTTCAGAATTCTACTATTAATTTGCCCAGGCTGTTTCTGAGTATTCAGTCCTCATGACAATAAGGGCCATTTGATTGTACTTGATTGAGGAGAGTCAAGGCAAGTTGTGATTTTGTCCTCACATACTCCAGTAGTCTGAGTAATTTTAGTTGTAGCAGGCGACCTATCCAATGCCCTGAAATCTGACCTCTTTCACTGGCTTTGTATCATGCTTTCAGACCCCTTGATTGTCATGTGAAGAATGCTACTGAGGGCAAACACACATTTGGTTGAACTTACAAATAAAAGGTTACTATGATTCTCTGCTTAATAAATGGTACAATAAATTTTTTCAACATGCTTTTAGGCAATTTTCTTAGATAAAATACCAACACTGTTATACACTTACTTTGCAACAGTTGAAACATAAAGCAAGATTCAAATATATACCTTAGAGATATTTGTTTCTTGTGTGGCACAATGTATACTCTATAAATGTATATGGAACTGGGTAGGTATGGAATTAGATTTTATTTTGTGATATTATATTATATTGTTTTTTCTTAAAATTTTACTGAAGTTGTTCCATCAGTATTAATCTCACCAGCATGGCAGTTGAGGCAGCACAGTCCCAGGTGAAGATACTGCTCATTCTCTACACATGCACGAGGCCTCTTCAGGGTTAAGTTTGTGAAGTCTTCACTGGACCACTGAGCCACTGGTGCCATCTCTGCTGCATAACCTCCAAACAGCAGTACCATCAGCACCTGGAAGAAAGAAGAAAGCTTTTTAAGATTCAGTATTTACTACACAGAGTCTCTCATTATATGGACAGTAAAAGACAAGAGTCTATCTTCATAAGAAACCTTGTGTGAGCAATCTCTGGTTAATTTGAACCATCTGATTTGAACATCTGCTGTGGGAAAGCAATTAGAGTAGCCAGACACAACCAGCGGCACACAGCAGCTATGTATGTATGTATTTTGGAAGTAAACTATACATTAACAAATAAGAGCAGAAAAAGATGATTTGTGTGTTTTCTTCACTGTGTAGTGCTTCAAGTCCTGATCAATTACTGCAGCATGGTGGCATATCAAATGTGATTCCAGCGCGCGATTTCTCCGACAGATAATAAACGGCTTGTGTAGGTGGGGTACAGAGAAGAATACAGCTGAACACTTTAGTATGGCCCCCAGGCGCTGGTGTTTATTCACACGCTTTTCACCATGTCAATGTGAGAAGGCCCTATTCACAGGCAAACAACACACTTTAGTGGCTCTACTTCAAATGACCCACATTCTTAAACCCCATAGCTTTGAATGCAATGACATGCGACACCACCATGGAGCGCCCTGGTACGCAACACAACACCTCCTGGGTAGAGGAGAGGCCTACATTTGGAGGTTTTGTCTCCACTGCACCCGCCCCCTCTCCACTAAAGCAGCAGATAATGGGACAGGTTGAGAGGACGAAAGGGAAGGGTTTTAAAAGTGAGAAATCGAAGACAGGGCGATGAAGGTGGGGATGATCTACAGGGAATTACTGGTCAAAAAACAAAGTGTGGGAGAATTAGGAGAAGAATGAACACAGAATAAGGGACAGGCTTTAACCCAGGCCGCTTTTGACGCTGCATTGGGCTCTCTGGAGGTCCGCCATGCCTTGTTGTTCAAAAGAACTTTCCCCTCTGCCTTTTCCTTTCTTCCTCTTGCACTGCTCACGTCAGAATTTCCAAAGACGCTGAGAAGCAGGCAGACGGCAGCTAGCGCAGTCACAATCACACCATTTATATCTATCCAAATATTCTGGGGAGGCAGAGGAGAGGCAAGCAGAGCAGAGACTGAGGGGGCTCACAGCTTGTTTGACACAGACTACACTTGAATACTTCATGTGTGTAACTACAGGCCAGGGATACTGGGCCATAGAAATGGCACTAAGCACAAGGCCGTGTGAAAAGCCAAGCTAGGAATCTGTGAGGAACTTGTTCACAATGCAGCGTTTAAATAGATGCAAAAGACATAAACATTCCAAATGAGTTATTATTTGAAAAACATACACTGTAAAAATAATAACAATACTCAAATCTTAAACATTAATTAATTATTTATTGTTTAATTGTTAATTATCTACTGTTTCAGATGCGCAAAGAAAGTGTCAACGCATAGGAGGCACACTGTGACATCATTTCCTGTCTTTGTTTAAGTCAGGATTTGTGATTCAAAACAGTGTCAGGTGCAGCTGCTCTTGTGCCTCTTGAGCGGAACACTCAAACACAAAGTTACATAAAGTACAGCATAATCGCAGCCCAAGGCAACATCAACATTCAAATTTAAAGTGTACAGTATTGTACATTTTTATGAAACTGCAAGAATAATAAGGTTTAGACAAAGTTTGAGACTGCTGATGATATAATCACTCCAGTCCTCAGATCACACCTGTCGACTCATTCTGGCAGACACACCTGAGGGGTTAGAGACCCCACCCACAGTGACCCGCCAAGCCCTTGTTTAGCTGCGAGGCATTGTGTTCACAACAAAGGGTTCTGAAGTCAAAGAGTCCTGTAGGGATGATATTCTCCTTTGTCCCAAACTAATAGTTATGCCTATTTCTGTTGAAACTGCATGTTTGTTACAATGTTTGTGACAAAAAATATATTAACAAAATATCTTATATGTGCTGTAATTCATCTTAACACTTTTCTAACATAAAAACATGAGATAACAGCATGAGATGTCCAGACCAAAATCTTAGAGCTGTGTAAGTGTCTAAAGACTATGGGCAGCCACAATGTGGTGAGATTTTACCTCGAGAAACATTTGAGGAAAAACAGAGTGACCATAACCTCAGTGTACACAGCCCTCTAAAGCCACATGTCCTGGAAAGCCTCCAGCACAGATTCAGTGCTGTCTATTCATTGTACAATGAGAGTTTAGCAACAGATTATTAGCCAAAACAGTATGCTTTTGTCCTCCAATGAGTATTAGAGTGAAGCCCTTTGCCTGTGTGGATGCAAGTTAAACTAATAAACATGACAATAGAATAACGAGGGACTTTCTCTGTATTTGACAGTAGTTCCTCTCCACTTCCTCCAAAGACCTTGGGTTCTTCCCAAGCGCTGTGGCACAATCCCTACACATGCTGGGTACACTAAGAATGCATTTAGGACTAAATAACTGGACATCCTCTCAGTAGACCTATGTTATCAATGGGCCATTTACACTGTTGCACTTTATATGCTTAAGGCTAATTACAGTGCACAGAAACAAATAGTTTAAGTACAGGGTACACAATATAATGCAGGGAAGATCCAAACTGAACATTGAACATTTTATTCCAATCATAGTTGACTGATAAGCCATGGCATAAAGTACTTCATTACATTGCATCTAGTGCAACCTGGCCCTAATACCATGCCTCACTCATGTTTTTGTTTTGTTTTTGTTTCTTTTTTTATAGCAGAGGCTTATTCCAGTGATAGCATAACATCTCTGTATAATGTATTTTCTCTATTAATGATTGCTACATTTATTAATACTACTGCTAATAGAAAAACATAAAAGGAGTATAACCAAATCAGGTACAGAGAGTAGCAGAGAACATTGGATCTGTGAGCTGTATACCAGGCCTAACAACTTTATTTCCATGTAATGTGGAGGAATTTCAGCATTTCATCCTGGTGATATTTAAGGCTGGAGCACATGACAGAGGAGGATTAGAGCAAACATGATTTCCCACTGCTGTTGCTCCTGTGAAACACTGATTTGAACCATACCTGCAATTGAGTTTAAATGTGCCATGTGTCTCTCTGACATGAACATAGATTCATCTTAATGGTACAAGGTCTCACTGAACCACAAGAAAGACACTTCCCCCCTGCACATTTCATACACAGGCATCTGTGCTACAGCTGCCATGACAAGTAGCATTATCATTCCTAGCACTGGGTTTCTGAAATGCACCAGTCAATGTAAAGGTTTACCTTTAAAATTATAATAATAAATAATACTATTATAAATAAACCAATATCCTTAGGCCAATATGGAAAAAGCACAAAAAAGCTCCAGTCTGTTTTAATACAGAATGGTGAACTATAATCTTGTAAGTACTAACATGCCATATACAGCATCATAATTTGCCCAATAGGCATCAACAAATGAAAATATGTCTTAATTAATTTTAAAAAATGTGTCTTATTTTTTTCACAGGATATTATTACTATTTACCCTTTACTGAAAAAGTTTGATCATAGTCTAATTTTAGCACTATTGTGTAGAAACAGTGGGACAATTGAACAGCCCTGTTTACACAGAAGCTTTCTATTATGAGGAGGACAACTTGGTGTACTAAATACTACAGACAAAGACTTGTATATCACTGTCAAACACTTGCACTTACAGTGTGAAAACCGCAACCTTGTGACACTAAAAGTTGATGTGCATACTTGAAGGAACGTGTTCTGCGTACACACAAAATGCCGACACACAACTTACATGTGGGAGCGTGTGAAAAGCACTCGCCCCCTCCTCTCAGGGAGCACAGGAAGCTCAAGACAATACGAGGGCTTCATGCAGGGTTCAGCTCCAAACGGTCCCCCCTTCAGCAGCAGCAGCGTGCCTCAGAGCGGAGCGCTCGGCACCCATTTGAGCCACAACATATCCGCTCACTCGCCCGGATATTTATAACTCAGGGAAGCAGCACACAAATTCTTCAGTTTCCTCGGGAGGTATGCTTCACTGATTAGATGAGTGTGACACCATGTCACAAGCAGGTTCAGTCACATTCAATGTTCTATGTGAAGACAACACACAAACAACATTCGCTTTGACGTCAACAGGAACCACTAACAGTTCCCTCTACATCTTTTTTGGTGAAATAAAGCTGTTGTCAGGTGGCTGACACACACGCTTTCTCTTTTGTTTGTTATGGGAGGTTAAAGTGGTCTTCGTGGTTTCTCAGGGTGATATCACACATTCATCAGGTGAGTCATAGTGTGCTATTGAAGGGGCAGGATTTGAATGTCACAAGCTGAGAGTCTTCAGTGTAAAAGTCTTTAGGTGAGCCTTTTCAAATTCTGATCAGAGAATTTGCACAGCAGCAGGAGCAGCTCACAAGATCGGGGCAAAAACAGTGGAAATGAATGACTAACAGATTCAACTATGCACAGGAATCCATTACCTCGCTTCACAGACAATCGCATTAGCTCCATAAAAGCTCCACTTTGTGTCAAAGTGAAAAGGGCCCTGACGAACAGGCGGTTTACAGCTTTCTCTATAAACACTCGGCAGCAAAAATGTAGAATATGTGGCTCGGAGAGGATCAACAAGAGCCTAAGTGGCCATCAAAAGCTGGATTCTCTATGGGATTTATAGCTTTATAAACATCTATCCATTGTTGTGACAAAGGTTGAGTTTGTTCTAAGACATGCTCATATGACCATTTCATTCCCTTTGAAAGCAGCAAGAAAAGACACATGGAAAAAAATTAAGGTAAGGTGCTACATAGGGAGAGTGATACAAACAAAAATAATATTTCAATATTTTTATATCATACCAATGACCAATGATATTAGGAGTTGTTATGGTAACCAATCAGAAGTGTGCAAAAATATGCAAACCTACGGCAAATATCCTGGTAAAGGTTCAATTCTACTATTCTATTCTTTTTACTTTTAAAAATCTGTTTTGCATACTTCACAGACGGTAAAGTCAATCATTGAATTTTACATGTCTCCAAAAAATAATAGACATATATTTTTATATATCTCCCACCTCATCTTAAACTGTATCATAAACTACATTATGACATCTACAGTAATATATGCACTGAATGTGAGAGTGCAGACACCTGTTCCCACAAAACCCCCACTGGACAATAAAAAGACTTAGAGCTGCTTAGTCTTGCAAGATCTGCAGCTGTGACAGTAATCATACATAATATAGACATGAATTCAGCATGACAATGTTCTGATGGCTTATTAAGTGGCCTACAACACTGAAGATAAGGTAAAGAACTAAAAAAAACAACAACAATATGTTTGTGTTTATCAGACAGGGCTAAGACGTGGGCTCTCTTATTTTATCAGCAAGCATCCTCTGGTAATACTCAATGGTCTTATGCAGTTATAAGTAAAATTTTACTTCAGTTATACTCACAGACTTCAGTTTGGCTAAAAGGTTAAGAATAACTGGTTTTCATTGTAGTGACTTTGAAATTTTATGTTTATTAATGGCTTAAACTGGTGGTACAATAACAGTTTACAGCTCATCTCTCTTTGAAAGTTGTGAGAAACTAATAAAAATGTTAAGTTAAAATTCCCAAACACACTGGAAACACTCCTTATCTTATATTATTAACTTTCCACATCAAATACTTTAGAATGAGTGTTAAAAAAAAAAAAAAAAATCCTGAGGCAGGCCTTGAGAAAACGGTGTCCACCCGCAATCAAATGTCCTTAAAGAAAACTCATGTGATTGACCTATCAGATGACTCAGTGCACGCCAGAGCAATGCATGCTGCAACAACTTCAGCTATTCCTCATCAGATCTCATGAGACCTGTAACTTGTATCTTCACAAACAATTTGGAAAATAAGGAATGGTCTCAACTACATTTGTTTTCTTCACATCCTACATCCCTGTAAAGTTGTCTTGTTGGAAAACTTGTAATGCCAATTAATTGTAATTAAGATGGGCAATATTAACAGAAAATATAACAACTTTTTTTTTTTTTTCAATTCAGATGATTTTTTTAACCATGCAGCAGAAATGTGCTGTAAATGTCTTGGTTGAGGTTCAAGTCATGCACAAAATGTGAATGGCCCATAAAATTAAAAGTGCAGAAATGCAGAAATAGCTTCAATAGCTCTCTTGTTTGGGAGATGACACTTTCGGTTTCTTTTTGAGGGAACTGGTAAAAAGGCATATTCTGAATATTATTATTTTTTTTAATGATTTCCAAAACAATAATTGCTATATTATTAAGTTTTCAATATATCTCCCACCTGCAATTGTAATATAGTTTAAAATAAGGGCAATATGGTTTCTATTCCAATGACTTACAGCAGATACATTGACATCATCCCTGGTCTTATCTCAGCACTGTACCAGGGTGATCTATGGTCTCTGACTGCTCTGCTCAGGTATGCATTACACCTGAACAGGTGGCGCTCCCTTTGTGAGTCAGCACTCTCTAAATACTGACAACACCAGGGGCTCAATATGCTACTAAACAGTACTGAACAAACTAGGCAAAATTATTATAATTAGTTAATTAATTATATGTCTAACAGTTCTCCATGCAGAAAAGCACAGTATAAGAAACTTTGAGTTCAATTTCACCTAATTAAAGGTGATCAATTTCATTATTTATGCAAACAAGAGAACAGTACACAGAACTACAATTATAGCATGATTTTTGCCATCACAATTATCGAAATCACATTTACTTAAATACTGTCACAATTGACCTGTAGAGAAAGTATAGTATACATAGTAACATATAACTCATATAACTTTTTGGTAATGGTCTGTATGTATTTGTGTGTTTGCTTTAAGAGCATACAGTACACATAGTATAATAGTTGCTTTGCCCCAAGTTGGATGGTATAACAAGCACTTACACATTATTAGGAACAAAAGTTAATTAATTGTATTTTTGATTGCAACATATTGTAAGTGAATAGAGTAATAACTGAAACCCTCATTTTAAGTAAGATTTATTGTACAAGAGCAGCCTAACTTGTGCCATCTATCCACTCTGAAGAATCTCATGGACTGAAACGTTGAATACGTCTAATCCAATGTATCACACTGCTCCTGGCAACCTGCTGTCCTGTCTTTCTGTTGCACTATGGTTGCATCAGACAGACAGATGCCACAGACAGGGTCCCACTAAGTTCACATGGTCTCTGTGCAGAATACAAGTCACTGCAACACTCATGAGGGGTTTGTTTGCTGACCACTACTCTCTATCCCCAGTGACATACTTAGGATTGAGCCCGTCCCCAATGTTCGTCCTGCCCTCAGCCTTGTCCAGTGGGACTAAGGGGGATATTTCCTGTGTGAACCAACACCCAAACATACTGTAAGCAACAACAGATTACCATCTAGTGTACATTTGTGCAGCCATGATAAATCTCAGAGGCTGCCTGATGCCACTAATATCAGCCTATCTGTGTACACTAGACAGGAAGTTTACTGGACAGCCCGGCACGTACACTCCAGCAATTTCAAGGGGTGTATGTGTGTGTGTTAGGAGACTGAGTTTGATGGGGGGACAAGTTTCCTCACAGCCTCATAGCAACAGAGCCTTCTGGTGAGGCCCCCAGAATGCACTGTGGTTTACAGAGGAGATAAACATTGACTTTGCCACCCGACGAAGAAAATCTGATTTCAGTAATGGAACACTGCATGACTTAAAAAGCATGTCTGACAATGGCAAAAACAAACAGGAAAGCTCCAGGCACATCAGGAGATGAGGACTGTTTAGTTGTGTGGAGATCAAAACAACTAGCTTCACTGTGGAAAGAAAGAGTTGATAGATAAAACTAGCAACAAGTCCTCCATTTTGTTTTAGTAGAAGTAATATAGGCATATTACTTATTTTGGAACTCTTTCCAAGAGAATTTTGCTGGCTGCACCCGAGTTGTCATACACATTAAAACATAGCGTCAGGATTGGCTACTGCACCATTGGAAAAAAACAGCAGCCACAGAATGAAAAGAAGTCTGAGTATGGAATTAACTTTATTGGAAAAAAACTGTTAAGGGAATTTGCAGCTTTGCTTGGCTAAGTAGGAAGGTGGCAGTAAGCGTTTGAGGGTCAAACTCTTGATTATTACTTGAAAACGGGTTGTTTCCAGAAATCCCAAATTTTTTGCAAATGCACAATTTGTGTCATGTTAAAATACTAAAAGTCCCATTTAGTCATCTTACATCCGCTGTGCCACACAAAAGCCATCCTTAGCTGAATGTCTGAACAGTCTCTGACCACATGATGTCCAACGCAGATGGTGAATGTAAAGTTGAGTGAATGATACAACATATGCAGCTCATACTTCTCTTAGGACAGAGCACACTAACACAAGCGCCAGCTGCCTCACGTCAGTTTGTCTGGAGTCTTCTGCTGCACTGAAATAAACACTAACCTTATTCATCATCAATAACAAACACAATGTTGCTTCCTGTGTTCGAGGTCTTGTGGGACAATGGGCTGCTGTTTCATCTTCACATGGACGTGCATAGGCCTGGGCTGTGATTTGAGCTTCCCATGTGTCCCAACATTGAAATAGGCCTGCCTACTTAAATAAATACAGATCTGCCCAAGTCTATAAAACCAACCTTCATATGTCCTATATAAACTTCTAATGTTGACAGGGCCTACGAGAGCCTATTAAATTTGACGTTTAAAAAGCATGTTTTGTCACCACTTTAACACGTCGCATACATGTTAGAACAAGATTTAACAGGATAGAAAATGTAACTTTACTTCTGTAGGCTACATGTTTGAAACTTTACTTACAACAAGTTTCCCGACCACCGGACCGAAGTTCATCTTGGGAACTTCGAGATGAAATCCCAGACTTGGACTTCGCGTAACGAACCAGTCTTTTAGATCTCCAAAATCGCGTTACATTAAAAATCAACCTGCTAATGTTGTCCCAAAACGTGAAGCTATCCGTTATCCAGCTTCTTTTAAGTACCTAATGATCTTGCGGAGAAAGTTTGGTGGCTTTTTTTCATTGGAAGAGCAGCACGCACTGAAGTGGAGTGAAGTCACTTCTTCAGCTCAGAGAAGTGATACGTGCGTCATGCGTCACAACATCCAATCAGAGCGCGCTATTGGAAATAATACTCCAGCATGTGTAGCCTACCCGTAAAAGTTGATACAGATTTTTAATTGAAGTTAACACGGACTGAAGTCGGGCAACTTTAAATTTGCAAATGTTGCTATGGCTTAATGGCGTTATGCTACTGCTGCTTCACCACTTTATAGAACAAAAACAGAAAAGGCTAGCCGTGTGTAATGTGTAACTAACTAGTAATGGCTGATTAATAAGCAACAAATGGGTCAATAAGTGATCTCTAGCTATGACAAGACTGGATAAACATTCGTTAGACTCTGCAGTGCAGTTAGGCTTGTTTCATTTAAATTAACCTACATTTATTGTGGGATAACCTGGCAAAATTTCTGATATAACGTGGCCCACTCCCCAAAAGGTGGAGGGAATTTGGGTGGAAGTGTCTTATACGATTTTTTATTATTCCCCAAATTAATATTTGATTGTTCGATTGTCATTGTTGGAGACAGTGTAGCCTCTCAAACACCAACCACTCTCATATTTTTTGGACATGTACAAAAGTAAAATCATTCTGGGACAACGTGTTTGGAAAAACAGATACGATCGTGACTTATGTCGTCCCCAAGGACCCAAAGATATTTTTGTTAGGCCTTCTGCATGGAGAGGTGATCGAAAAAGCGGACATTTATCCTTTTTAAGATTCTGACACTGGCATCAAAAAAGCAATAACAAGAAGCTGGTTTAAAAAGGACCCACCTTCAATGAATCAGTGGCTAGACATTATAGAAGAAATATATTCCATGGAACGAGTGCGTTTTTTTCTACGACTCAAAGGACATTTCTTCATTAAACACTGGACAAAATGGTTGAGATATAAACAAAAAGATACTTGATCCGCCCTTCTACATCCTTAATGCAGTGGAACAGTGCCCCAAGCTTTGTATTGGTTGTATTTGTTTGTTTGTTTACTACCCAAAACTTGAAAAACTGAATAAATAAAAAGTATTTAAAAATGGCCCACTCCAGTTGGATTAAAGGTAACTAGATTATTTTGAATTTTTTGAACTCTTAACTATTACTGAACACGTTGTCATCTTACTAGGCCTACACGTTTTCTTCTACTAGTAATCGTGCTGCTGTATATTTGACACCTGAGACTCCCTGAGGCAAGTTTCATGCTAAACACCTTAGTTGACATAAAAATGAAAGCAAGTATTTTAGTTTAATTTACTTATATTTATATTACTTAAGATAGGCTATATAAAAAGGTGAGTTTTAGAAGTTGGTCAAAGGAATAGCGCTCAAACCTGAACAAGCAGTGAATAATTTGAGACAGGAAAAAATGATCAGAGGGAGAAGCAAACACATACAGGAGATCATTTTTAGCCTACTTTATTTTACAGTGTTGGTCAATAAATAATACAGGTACAATATAGAACTACATTTGCCATACTTCACCACTGTACAATTCACCCTTATGTAATAGATAACCTATATCTTGTCAAAATCACAATTTCTTTACATCTTTTTTCTAACCCCACCATTATGTATAGGGATAGCTTATATATTTTATAATTTGTATATTTTATATAATTGTACATGTCTTCTACATATATTCCTGACATTTGTATTGTAATGTGCATGAGCTACTGTGTCCAAGCAATTTTCCTTGTGGATCAATAAAATTTGTCTAAGTATAAGGTACAATCACTGGCCCATAGACTTTTGATTACTGATACTGTTTTTTAAACATACATTGCACTTCTAATTAGGCATCTGCTTAAATAGTTCCTGAAGACAACATCTTATCTGAAATGGCTTGGCTGTGCAAATCCTGTGTCAAGCAGGGGAGGAGATATAGGGAAATGTTTGGCCAGAGGCAGGGCTCCATTCCAGGGTCATTTACAAAACAAACAATCAAAAAACAAACAGGGAGCTGAGCTAAACAAGCAGGACTGGACTTGGCCCCATGTCAGACAAAGAGGCGGTGAAAGACAAAAAGTTACATTTTGAGTCAGTGCTGTCTGTGTCACTGGTTTTGGTTATCAAAAGTATCAAAAACTAGTCATTTGAACAAGTAGCCATACTAAAGATAAAATTGTATAAAGAAAATTTGACATTCTGTGTTTTAAAATGATTTTGAGCTTTATTGAAACTCCTCTAAGAGCACATTACAGTGAGTGTTACATGTTGAAAATGGCATTCTATTGTTTAAAAAAGAGCATTTTTTAATGCTCCATGTGTATGTACATCATCAGTTACATCATGTGCATCAGTTTAGACAGCTGCTGATGTTAAAGGAACTAGACAAAAAGAGGGTTACTGCAGTGTTCTTGTAACAAAATGACTCTAAAGTTAAATATTCACTCATCAGTGCTGTGGCTACATGTTTTTGGGTTGACAGGAAGTAAGAAGACAGAAGAAAAGGTCAACATAAGGGAAGATGAATCGATGACCGGTCTTTAACACGTGTCAAATAAACAACATTATTTTGGATACATCCCAGAAGTTCCTGACAAAGTGAAGTGTCGTTTGAGTTAAATCTATCGAGGAAATTTGTGTCTTCTATTTGGACATCCTGTGCTCCTCCTTCTGAGGTCACCAACTACGTGCTTAAAAACAGGAAATGTATGATTGAGTTATTTGGAGGCTTATCCTGAGACTGTCTGTATTTATGGCAGTTGGGTTGATTAGTTTACAAAAAAATAAAAGAAGAAAAAGAAAAAACATCTCTGATTGGTTAAAGCATTGCACTCATTTTGGATATGAAACATGTTTACTCTTAATTTGCATCTGTTTTGGCTACTCATTATGTAGAGGCTAAGTTGTATTTTTGTGGACTGATGGAATAATTCAACTCAAGACCCTTGATCTTAACGAGAAAGTGATAATATTTGTTGTTGTAGAATATAATTTAATATTGGGAATTAAGTGGTTGTAGTTGTTGAAATTCCCTTTTGACAGACGATGGTTATGAAGTTTAAAGTTTGAATGTTTTTTGAATGTACACACATGTAATTTCACATGTTCAATCTTATGTTTATAATTATCTAGATCTTGTATTAAACCTTCAGAACTGGTGCCACGTCTGGAGTCGACCTGTTGCAGGAAAGGCAGGCGAGATAAAAGGAAGAGAAACTTCGTGACCACCACTGACTTTATCTTGTGACGCTGCTGGCTATTGTTTCGCTTGTTACTCATAGGAACAAACTGCAATCTTTGTAAATATACAGTATAATTGATGTTCCTTTGTTTGGAGTTCTTTACATTAAGAATAATGCAACAGCATCATAAGAAAATACAGGACTGTGTTTGTGGAGCATACTTCAAAGTAATTCATTTTCATTTGATTTTGGAATTATAAATGCATATTTATGGTAGAATATAAGCGCATTATTCCTCAGCTAGCAGTCTACTGTTGTGCTGGGTTCAATTACAATATCATTCCAACATAATTTGAAGGAGAGTAGGCTATTCCTGTATAATAATAATAATGAAGAAATACAATCTACTTTTAACAGCTATTGACCATGTAATATTAGCTATCCCTCATCATTACTTTACAGATTATATATGATGTGATACATACGTGATTGTGTAGTATTTATAAAACACTAAAAAACACACTTTTATTCCCTAGGTTGAAGTGCCCATATATATTATGCTATATTCTGATCTATGTTATAATGTTATCTTCTATTTTGTCTTTTGTCTTGATTTGGATAATTTCAGCCCTGGAATTGTCCATCAATACTGAACTAAAATTAAAAGGTAAAAGGCTGTTAATATGAAAACTACTCCTTCATGACATCACAAGGTATTTTGAGCTTTGGAGATATAGACAAACATTTCTGAATGAACCAAAACACAACTCTAGGTATGTTTTTGATGAGGTAACAACATTCTAACAAGGCTTAAAGCTCACAAGAATCAGTTTGGTGTAGTATAAGATCTTTAAAATGAAATTAAATATAGAATTTGTAGAGTAAAAGTTAAAATGATTTGTTGCTTGTTATATAACAGCAACTAAGTACTATATAAACTAAAACTACTATTAAATATTCAGCATTTAAAAAAAAAAAATTCTTTCCACAAATTAATGATTAATGTGTAAATGGGTTTGTAGGGATCACGAACCTCTGAAGATGAGATTGCTATAAGAAAAACAACAGCAGCAGCAGCAGAAGTAGGGTCATTGCTCTCAAGGTTCACAAGAAAAGTTTAAAAATAAATAAGAAAGCTCTCACCCCTGAACATTAGGAATTAAGAAACTAGTACATTTTCCATGTTTATATTGAGTATGGTTTTATTTATTGTTTTTCCAATCGATATTCTTTATTGGTCAATGTTTAAACATCACTTTTACGTATGTACTTTGGAAAATGGTAAAGAACATGATGAGATCCTATCTGTGCACTGTTCTCATGTTGTAGTGACACCAATGGGAAAAATCTAATTGTTTGACAAAAGCTCAATACAAATGATGCTGCAGTTCCTGGCAAAAATAAGATGGAAACACATTGTCAAGTGTCGTATTGTCTTTGCGACTTCCTCTACTAAACAAAGATACCCCCTCCCACCCCACACACACATGTTGGGTTTCCATGCTTTTTGGAGACATGTTAACATTTGTCCTGGTTTGGTCTTGGTTTAGTCCTCATATTGAATTGGTTTGTCCTCATATAGACTTGGTTTATCCTCATATAGACTTGATGCTGTTTTAATTCTGGTTTATTTCTGGTCTAGTCTAGGTTTAGTTCAAGGTTTAGTGTTAGTATAGTCCCGATTTTCATGTATAGTGTATGTGCAAGTTTAAATGCACCCCTTTTCATCTCCTGGATACTAATCATAACCTTAACCTAGCTACTTATACCTAACCTGTAATTAAATAGCCATAACCTAGCTGAACCCAAAACTTTAAATCATGTTGTTGATCTAATATTAAAGGATTTACATCACAGGGAACTGATTCTTGTCCCCATAAAGTAGACAGATTTCCATAATGTGAGTACATAAACAGATTTTAGTCCCCACGCTGTGATAAATACCAACCTCACACACATACACAGGTGAAGGGTCACAATCAAAGCCCCATCCCTGTTTGCCTGTGCCCTGTGAAAAAGAGGTTAACCTGCAGTTTGCTGAGAGATCGGCTGTTGACTGGTGCTGTCTGGTTGAAGTGGGCTGTACATTAACACGCAGGATTACAATAGAGAGAGGAATGCTGCTCTTTGTTGCACTCTCTGTGATGGCATGTGCAGTACTTTCCCCTGGCACCTGGGCAGAGCCCTGTGCTGCTGTAATGAGGTCTGATTCATCACCTGAGCCTGTGTGTTTCAGGGGGCACTTTAAAAGACAGGCTTCACTCAGCAGAGGAGATTAGGCTGTCGGACTGTGTACTGTGCAGATAACACTGAAGTGATGGCGAAAGGCAAACAAGAAGAAGATTTGACTGGCATTCATAAGCTCTAGTAAAGTTTGCAACATGAATGAAGCTGACAAGTCGCACAATGTCACACATTTTCTTGCAGCAACTACTGAAACTTATTTATAAACCAACTTTAACACGTAAACCCAAGCCTATACAGTGTCCCATTTATTTGCACAAGTGATCTGACTTGGAATCTGAAGAAGTGGAGTAGCTCCTCCATTTCACTTAACTCTCTTAATTATTAAAATAAAATACAAATGAAATCATAAGATAGAATTCTAACAGCATCTATTTTCTTGTGTGAACTGTAAGTCTTTTTTTCTGAGTTGTTTGGGTAAATGTGATGTATTTGTTATGTGTTGTCAGTAGCCTTCTCAGAAATCAGTGTGTGAACCTGATAGAGGAATGTAAGTGGGTGTCAGTGTGTGAGATTCTTCTATGTGAGTTTGGGCAAAATCATAAGGATAAGAAGAAATGAGTGAGGAAGATAAATGGAGTATTTGTGCATTAAAAGCAGCAGACAGAGCGAGTGTGGAGAGAGCGGCCAAGAGTTGGAAAAAACAGGGAATTAGAGCCAGTCTCATGGCAGAGCCCACAGTGCTGATGCTAGCTGTCTGATCCACACAGAGACAGTTGGCAGCAGACGCTCCACCAGCCACAAATGTACAGTAATTCAAAGCATGCGACGTGACGCCGCTGTGTGCTAGCTGAGGCTGCAGCCACCCACTCACTGGATCTGCCACAGTCACAAATGCACCAGTACCCTTTCCACGTGATGCAATTATTCACAGTTCCATGGCAAATTTGGGCTCAAGCTAATCTCAGCTAAATGGCATGGCGCCTCTTGCAGAAAGTCTGAAGTGAAATCAACTAACAAATGGCAAAAGTTTTGCTGGAATTCAGCAAATGCCATATCAACCACCCTAAAGTTGAAATAATCAGTTTATGATAATGAATACAGCAATATGTTTGTTTGCCTCAAGTTGGTATTGACATAATTGAGATTTTGTCTATATCACTATCACACAGTACAGAGGACTATTTTGTTCTTTGCCCCATCTCATGCCAAAAAAATTGCCTCCAAAATAAAAGCCTCTAGTCTCCATGGAAACAGGAAAAGAAGAGATAAGATTAAGAATGTGTCTGTGATTGGAAGGAGGAGCAAACAGACAACAGTAACAGGCCGGAAAAAGAAAAACAAGATTCTAGCTTTTGTAGGTTAGTTCTCATGAGCTTCACATGACTTGCATTTGCCCCCCTCCTCCCCTCCCTCTATACCCCCCTCTACTTCCCCCTCCCTGCCCTCTCCCCTTTGCACAGCACATAGACTTCCTGTGTGTCCTGGCCTGAATGGTATGTGCATGGAGTGGGTGTCTGGGAGGCCTTTCATCCGCCATGGAAAGAAAAGATGTGGAGAGAGAGAGGGTGGGGGGTGGGGGGGTGGGGGTTAGGGGGTAGGATGGAGGGGGGGTTAAAAAAAAGAAAGTGAGAGAAGAGAGTCATCTTTAATCTGCTATGAGTCAGAGCAGTTGTCCAGTGGGCAGGGTTAGAGGGCTCTGTTTATGCGTGTGTGCATGTGCATGGTTTTGCACGCAAGTGTGTGTGTGTGTGTGTGTGTGTGTGTGTGTGTGTGTGTGTGTGTGTGTGTGTGTGTGTGTGTGTGTGTGTGTGTGTGTGTGTGTGTGCGCGTGCGTGCGTGCTGTCTGGAGGGGAAGAGGGAGGCATAGAGCATGCTGGGAAAAGCTGCTGCTGCCTGTTTGGCAGAGTGGGACAGATGACATCCGGCTGGGACACATTTTGCATAGCTGAAAAACATTACTTTAAGCAATGAGAGGACACACAGTGTGCACCCACAAATACATGAAGAACAGGGATAAAGTAATTGTGACAGGAACAATAAAGAAGAATGTGTTCCGCACACGTGTGTGTCTGTGTGTGCGTGTGTACACACACAGAAGAAGTATAAGGAAGCCTTTCACATGTCATGGAAAAATCTGCAGAGCCACAAGTGTGAACAGAACACAAGGTGCACAACACAGTACAAACATCTATCTTTCTATCAAGGAAAGAAAAATAGCCCCCTCTGGTGGTTAAACAATGCTATCATTAAAGTTCAGAATAACAACAAAATAAACTATTAAGTCATTAATAAAATAGATCAATACAGTCTATGTGAAATGAGTTGTTCTTGCAAGATCAGTTTCATTGCCAAAATAATTAAACATCCAGAAATTATTTAATTAAACAAATCCATAAATAATAAAAAAAAAATGTCACAAGCAAGGGCATTTTCATTTCAGCCCACAGGCTATAAATTGGCAATAATGGTGAACAGCTTTAAAATAAAAGAATGGTCCATGGTCTAAAAAGTAATATTTTCCATAGTAACTTAAACTGCCTGAGAATTAAAACAAAACTAGAACTCCCCCAAACAGCCTTGGAGTAGCCTCTATAGGAGAATAGCGGGAGATTTGAAGGACATATCCACAAGTCACTTTGACACACACGCACTCGAATGACAGATCTTATCTTGCCCTTGTTTCTGCAGTAACTCTTAATCTCATTAACAGTTTCAGTAAAGAAATGTAACATTGTTACAATTCAGAAGTTGGTATTTAAAATACATATGATAGGTTAGACTACCAACTAAAACATAGTTATCATTATATTCAAGATTTTGCAAAAGAAACATGCCACATAGCAGATATGACAGTTACCTAGCATGGCATATGATAACACCTTAATTTTATTAAATTAAAACTTGAAAATGTGTTCCTTGTGAGCAAATTGTTCTAAGGTGGATGGAATTCTCTGTGCTGATGACATAGGTATTCTATTACTTCTTTTTTCCCACTTGACTGATGTAAAACTGATAAATATTTACAACAAGTAGTAGGCTCACCAAACCTTGTAATAATCAGAATAGTCATATGCACTTTAAATTGTATAAATCAAACCTCATTTTATTCAAATAAGGAACACAGCAGCTTTAAAGCATCACACACATTCAGATATTCTTACTTGCATCCAAAGGAGACTATAGTTTAGGCTTTATAAAAGAATTAATCAACCTGCATCACTTTAATTAGTAATCAAAGGAGGCACTTTTGCCCACTCTTTGTTCCACAATGTTAAATCAGCATCACAGTCGAGAAACAGTCTTAGTCATAACAAAGATATTTCACCTTAACAAATGAGACATTGTTGGGGGCTTGTGACTTTGATGATAAATGTGTGAAGTAGTTAAAAAGGGAACCACGCAGAGTTTAACACAAAGTCATTTTATTAGCTTAAGGGACAGGTGGAACAACTCATTAGATGGATAACCAAATCCTAACTTTTCTGTTCAAGCATATGCCAACCCTTCTAGAAATGAATAATGACTGTCTGAGTGACTGTGTCCAATGTATTTCTGTTTTTAAATCAACTCACAGAGTAAAAAATAAACCAGTGGAATACAGTGGTTGTATGATTCCTTGGTTTAAATTCAACACCCCCAACGTGTTATTATGTCTTGGTTTTTGCATCAAATTATTACTTCAAAAAATGTGATGAATGTCACTATGTCTTTGCCGTAAGGCAAGTGCCTGATATTTCCGAGCAGTTTGGCAGCCTCTATCCAATATGTTTTCCACCAACAGTAATCTTAGCCAGTGTGCAGAGGAGCAGAAAAAGGCCAACTGAATGACATGAGTGAATGTTTTGACAGCAGAGAGGACTGTGGAAGGGCAGGTGCCCAAGAATCCGATCCTGGAGGGAGATCACCGCTATGGCATGATTGATTGGCAGTCTGTCAAAAACATACTCCATCATATGATATGTGGCAAGTCCAACACACATATCCATAATCCTTGAATACACCATCCCAAAAATGATCTTGTGTCAGATTGACACAGATGCATAACCTCAGAAATTCTTCATTTTAGCTTTTTTATGCAAAGTAAGAGATAGCTTTTCACAAAAACTCCAGTGCAGTTTACTATTTGGTTTGTCAGAAGAGCCCAGGTATTAACAGTTCAACACTTAGTGTTGTCTGTCTTCTGTTTCTTGACAAAAACTCACAGAGCAGTGTAAGTGTAAATATTATCCCAGATGATTGAGGTCTGAGTCCCGTGAGCCGCGCTCCTCCTCGCTGTGGCCTAGTGAGTTCGTCCTGCACGCCTGCACTCTGCTGATCTCCTCTAGAGCACACGCCAGAGAGTCCAGGTCTGCTGAGTCCTGGTGCTGTGCTTCCCACAGGCTCAGGATGGCTGATGATGGGCTCTCCTGACAGGCAAAGTAGCACAGGTTTCTATGGACAGAGTTTAAAAAAAGTCTCACTCAGTATGCTGTTCACAAATGCAATAAGATGATTAATCCTTTAACACAGTGTGCAAAGTCACCCTAGGTGTGTACTGTAGAGTCACACCAAAATGTAATGTTAGGGCAATTAGGGTAATAGATAGAAATAATTTGTAACCTGTTATTGATGTACGTACATAATTTCTTAATATAGATATGCTTGCCAATAAATAATACAATGATGAGTGATTAGGTGTATTCTATAATCAATTACTCACTATACCAATCGTGAAAACTGTGTTATTTACACTTTCATCCAACAGAGTGCACTGTTTTATCAGAATAATGTCCTGAGCTCTTAATGCATTTCCCTATATCTTAAATCCTTCTTTGTTGTAGACTTTCTTACTAATTCAGTTGAATACTTTTGATCAATCTGCTTAACTAAACAGAGACATGCATATTACATGCTTACTGGTGTGTTTAACTACTGGAACCTCAGACATCTTTTCCCAACCCCAAGGCGCAGAGGTCTGTTGTCAGCACTGAATTCTTTAATAATCTACTTGCTGTGCTGGTTCATGTTTATCTCACCAGTTACTGAGAATATGTAGTTTCAACTTAAGGCAATTTCCCACTATCTTTATCTCTTCTCAAGTGCTTCTCGGAGCTGACTGCCCTGATCTAATACTCTTCATGGCTTTAAGCGCTTGATTATTGACTGCATTTTAGAAGCACAAATAGATATCACCATTACCAAACAAGAACAGGTCTCCTCAACCCACGCAGAAGAAGACCTGCTTGACACCTGCTGAGTTCTGCAGCGAGCCAGAGAATGGAGCTCATGCAGAAACACTGCTAATGAGGAACACTATAACATGAACACATTGTCTTGCCACTGGCTGTTGGACCATCCCTCAGATTTCTGTCAAACATGTATAGTTTGTCTGACTTTGTCAAAGTTGGCCTCAACACCTTCTTTTTCTCTGTTTTGCACATTTCTTCTGTGTGCATGTGTTTTCAGATCTATAATGAAATCAGCCGAGTGCTGCTTTACTGAGGGCTGGTTGGTTGAGGATGGAAGATTAGGTCAGACACGCTGCTTAAACTTAAGATTAAAATAGTATTATAAAAGTAAGAGTTCGAGCTTGACACAAAAATAACATTTACAGTGTTGCATCAAAAATAAAAGATTATTATTTTATCTAAGACAACAAATTCATTAACTTCCCATTAACTCCCCCCTTTTATCAAGGGTTGCATCTCTATCCTGTGTCAGCCTGTAATGTAGCACAAATCATGGGCAAACCTTCTGAACAGATTTCTAGTGCTATGTGGTATAATCTGAACTTTAACGTATGTGTATTGTACTACTGTATACAAATTTACAAGCAACTTGGCTGTAGCTAACTTTATAATCTGGTCTAAGAGCAAAATATATATAGTTTTACCTGCTTATTTGGAGTTTTTGAGCCAACAGCTGCCAGTCCTTCCCCTTGGCATTAGCTGAGTCAAAAGTGGCACTAATCCGCTGACGAATGGACGGAGGGATTTTGAAGGCCCTTGACCCTGTCTGAGAGGTGACGCTGCAGTCCGCCTGGCTGCAAAAAGGTACCACTCCCTTTTCATTCTGGTAGAAAAAAGACAGACATAACAAGTGCTTAAGGGCAATCTCTGCAAACACTGCAGGGTTGAAATGTGCTCAACGCAAAGACAAGGACAAGATAGTATCAAAATGGTTTCACAATATGTGCAAAGCCTCCCTGAGTGGCTCATTAAACAGACCTTTAGCAAATCAAGAGCTGTTGTGTGTAATAAAATAAGCCATTAACAAGCTCTCCACTGCCCACTCACCTCCAGCACAGACGTGTAGATCTGGAGGAGCTGCTCGTCACCTTTGACCTGTCTGACGCTGATCTTGCAGGAGAGATGAGTCGAAGAGTGGTGGCTGTAACGCTCCAGAGAGAAGGCACACTGCAGGGGGCGCTGGTGAGCAGTCCACACCTGAGAAAAGCTGAACTCCTGGGTTGTGGATAAAGAACCAGACAGAGAATCATTACATTAAAGACATCTGTAATTTAGATTTCACATCAGTGCCCACTTTTTCTTGATTAATGCCAACGAGGTTTTTAGCCAATCAATGGTGTTACCTAATAAAGCCATTAATCCATCAATTCCCATTATATTCCAGAACTACAAGGCAAAAGTCTAATAAAAATAGAGGGAATTGGAGAGGTTTATATAGACATTTGTGGAGTCAAATTCTGTAACGTGATGATGTTTGATCATGGCAAGACTCAAACTGTCAAATATGGCTGTGGTGGCTTTTTAAATCCTTTCAACTTTGAATCAGTGGTGCCCCAAGCTATTCAGTGTAATCCTTCTTGCAAACAAACTGTGTGTTCAAGTTGAAGTTTTAAGGATGTCTTGACCTATTTTTTTGACTAATCACAATTGTGACCTGATCATTACTACAAAAAAGTGTCAATTTTTTTCTGCTTTAAATACAAAACTGAGCACAATATGTTCTTTTGTAGACATCCAATGGAATAAAGGGTACTGTGATTAAAAGACAATCTGTGTTAATAACCTGAGAGAAGTTATAACTCACTTTTCTTCTTCTGTTAAACTCATTTGCAACCCCAAAGATTGTTCTTGGATTTTTTTAATACATTGCATGTGTTGAATTAACTATAGATGCTGAAATAAAAGCCCGCATGTAAAGTCAATTGAGCTGATGCTGTGTCATTACTGTTCTACAAATAGGTCAGCATTGCTTTTCTGGGCTAACAGTGCCAAAAGCGAGATAATGTTTCATTTATCTAAACCATAGAATCTATTTACAACAATCTGGCAACAAAAGAGCTTACAGTGTATTTGAATGACTAGGGAAAATTCAGATATTCTGAAATTGCCTTAAACGAGAAAATGTAATGTGATTATAAAAGCAAGACGAAATGGTTTAATTTGCCCAAACTAGTGCGACATTTCCCTTGAAAGCTTTAAAAGAGTGTCTGAATTGAACAGCAAAAGGCATCTAAACATCCCATTTTGATATTGACCATAGTGTGACCCAGACAGTGCACACTAGAGAATAGGTCAAAAGTGTTATGGGGTGAGTCATGCTCATTTTTGAATACACCAAATAGAAAGATTGCTGAGTTAGACAGGCTCCTTTTGGTGTGAAATCGAAGGTCCATGTCTCTATACAACAACTCTGTCTTCCTGTATGAAAAGCACCTTGTTGATATTCTGCAGGCGCTGTAGGCTACTCTAATTCTGCTAATAGGATGTCACTGCTGGGATAAACATCACAGGGCAGAGCTGAACAAGCCACATGTAGACCCCTAGGTAGAGAGCTCTGAACCCCAATGTGTGTAAATGTGAACGCCTGGCAGTCATAATTAATTTAGTAAGGTTGTGCGGATAGATAAGATAGCTATAGCCTTAGTGATCCCCTGCTGTGTCCTTGCCACTGTCCTTTAGCTTTGATGCAGCCTCATAAGACATCACATACAGGGGAGAGCTCTAATAGAGGATCAGAAGAGGCACAGAAGATGAAGGTGCACACTTTCTTCCGAGGTCTGGACCCAGCAAAGTTCAGAGTCACTTGGATTACCATTAGTGTCAGACTGGGCCACCCAAGCTCAAATGCTGAGGTGGTTTGTACTGTACCTGGCAGGTGGTGAAAGGCTTGATGGTCCAGAGCAGCTGTGGGACATCCTGGATGGACACCTGGAGACTGTTCCTGTTCCCCCTGAACACCATAATTTTGGGCTCTTCCAGCAGACGCCCCCCTTGGCTCCGCTCCGCCACTCCCAACTCCTGGTAGGGAGAAGGATTTTAACAGTTTTTGAAAGACTGGTTCAAAGGAATACATTAGAAGCATATTATCATGCTAAATTTACATACAAGATACACAGGTTAATTAAGGAATAGGAAAAGTGACTGTGCCAAAGCAGGACGAATAGATGTGTGCCTCATGCCAACGAAGCTTACACCCGGTGGCACAGTGAACAGAATGGGAAATGTAAAGTATTCAGCTGTCTACAGGCTGATCGATTCTAGCTCCAAACTCACTGGGGAAATTAATTGTTGTATGAAGCACAAACAAAAGGGATAAAAAAAACAACAATGTCTGACTGATGGAGAAGAGAAGTGAATTGACTCTCAGAGCGCCCACATCCAATTTTTCACATGTGATTCGACCTCCCAAGTGCAACAATAAGTGAGCAGGCGTACTGAAGCAGCAGAGGTGCACAGGACTGTCCTCATTCAGAACTTAAGTATGTGGAGGTAATTGGGATATTACAAACGCAAAAACTGTTTTGGAAACATTCCCCTTGATGATAAAATGAGGTAATTTCCTCTTTTAATAGCATCTTCATACAGCAGAAAGAGTAGCATCATCATCCACACAGACACCCTGATTTGATCTCTGTCGCAACTGAGAAAGTGGCTTATTTTAAAGAGTCCAAATAGTCAGTGTGTGAAAGGCAATGTAGAAAGTCATTTAATTAACAGAGAGCAAATTAAATTACACAAAGAAAGGGCAAAGAAGCAACCTTGGAGCATCTGTTGTCTTTGTAATTAAAAGCTGCTCTTTGTCTCCTAGTCATCAGGCATCTCCCACTGGCCATGTTAGTGAGCAGGCAGATCTTCAGTGGAGCACGAACACCACACAGAAACTCTTCAAGGCACAAACTGCAGCTCCTGCCAACTAATTCACTTCTCTGTGAATAATTAGCCAGTGATAATTTGGTATTTGATTTGTTTGATTTCCTCTTTCATAGTTTTCTTATTTACTTTTTAAGCTCCAGTTCACATCACAGTTGACTGCTAACTGTTTTACACCTTAACCTTTATTTACCTGGGCTTGGAATTGAGAAAGGAATGGGACGAGAAAGAGTAAACTGCCCCCCTGGAATTTGGCTGGAATTTAATCTTCTTTTGGGGATATTGTTTCAGCAGCTGGGGATCTTAAGATCAAAGACGATGACTAGTTAGTGTCTAGAGACTTAAACCAAACTTTAACTATAATCCAAATTAAACATTTGCATCACTTGTATTGTTATTGGCCTTTAAGCATGCCCTTAAGTACCTTTGCTTTGGCTTCCATGATTTAGAACTTAAAATAATGGCTAATTAACAATACAGACATGATTTTACAGCTTCAGTGCTTCAGAAGCCTTTTTTACAGAGGATTACGGAAACCAGCATGAACAAAGTAACATACAACTCCAGGTATGTTTTAATGAGGGTACAATATTGTAACATGATTAAAAACTCAAAAAAGTAAATTGAGCATAATACTGTATGTGTTCTTTAATTGTTCACTAGTGCTACCTGAAAGGCATGCGGTGTGTCATCCACGCAGTAGACCCTGAGGGTGAAGCCTAGAGCACTGCTGGGGTCAGGGCTTCCAAACACAGCCAGCTGCAACCTCTTTGCTGCATCCTGGTTCAGTGACTCCCCCACCAGAGCATATCGGCCTGGCTGCTGTAGAAGCACATGGCACCTATGAGCCTCCAGCAGACAGTAGCAGCTAGTGCTCTCCTCTTCCACAGACATCACTTCCTGTAAAGAACAGAGCAGTGACCTTTTGCAACATGTATCACAGATGCCTGCATTTACATGGAGAAAAGTACATTTGTATTGGCTGAGGTTGCTTAAAGTTTCAACATAGATTCACATTCAAAACTTTTCATTAAATATTAAATCAAAATGGTCTATTTGATAGGAGGGATGAGAAAGCAAAGACAGGTTAAGTTAAAGTTTAGGTAAACTTGATTGGCCCTCATGGGGAAATTCATCCTCTGCAGTTGACCCATCCTTCAATGAGGTAATCTGTCAGGAGCAGTTGCAGTGGAGCACCCTGGATACCAGTCTCTTAAGTTTGGCTTGATCAAGAAGACTTGCATGTGCAAGTTTTACGCTGATAGGGAAACCAGAGTGCCAGACACGGGATGAATCCCTCCAAGCCACAGGGGGAAAAAGCAAACTTTGCATAGAAAAACCCCACCCAGCACTGCATAGTCCATCTTTGTAAGTCATAAAAGACTTGGGGTAATTTAGTTCCTCACAGCCATCCAAATCTGCCTCATTAGCCTTGGTGACGTGAGACATCTCCATGACAGATAGACAGAAAGAGATGATGGAGTCAAACTGTAAGGCTACAAAGTGCACACAGTAATGGGAATGGCACTGAGAGGCAGTCGGGGCAAAAGGAATGAAAGTGCAGGACATAGACTTCCATCTCTTTTTTATGTCACTAATTCACGACATGAGCAGTTTGAGTAAGCATCCTGCCTGAGATAAAGGGCTCATTATCTCACAGTGACAGAGAAGGGTCAGAGTGTTGCATTTACTTAGAGAACATCTTTTGCTCTTTTTCCAGAATCCATCTGGCTGCCTCATCCCTCGTCTATGTGTCTCTGCCCTATTCTTGTCTTTCTGTGGCATATAGTGATGGCTCCCTTTGTGCCGCACATCTGCTGGTAAATTACATCTGTGTAAATGCCACTCTGAGGGAAAAAAGTGTATGTTGAGGGACTCCGAGCTCCACAAGGTCATGTAAACTCCAGGCCTCAGCACACACAGCTGCAGGCTGGTCCATTACACACCTCTGATGAGCTTTTTTACACATTGGGTGACCAGATGTCTGCTCTTATTGCTCTTATTTCAAGCCACAGAGAAATGAACAGAGGTTGTTTGGATTGATGTTTAAAGAGAGGACAACTATAAATGACTCAGAGGGAGACTTAGGGAGTATAAGGCCTGTGTTTGCCTGAATGAAAAGGTGATAACAAAACAGGACTACTAACTGGTTGGGCTTTGAAGGTAAAAAAGAAATTTAATTGGACTCGCGCCATAGCTATTGGTTGCAAATGCCTCCGTCAGTATTCAGCATAGAAAGCATCCTGGATATTTGGGTTTTTATTTGATTTAGGTTGTATTTTTTTAACAAAAGTGCATTCTCTCACTTACATATACCTATTTGGTGGGATAGTACATATTTATATAACTTCACCAATGTTATTTTATGTTAACTATATTGTAGTGAAATTAGTAATTTAACCTGTCAAATGAACTTTAAATACACTAAATATTTTAAAGCAAATTGTAAAATGTATTAAATATTCTTACCTCCCACTTATCCAGCACATGTCTCTTCAGACGTATGTTCCAGTTGTTAGCAGAGGTCTCTGCACAATGAGCTATGGTCATGGCTATAGGACAGGACAGGTCCAAGCCTGTGGGGCCGTATGTGACTGCTGGACTGAGGAAAATCTCTGTGCCATCATCAGAGAGAGCACTGTAAAATAGCACATTTATCAGGCATAGAACCTCTGAAGGGATGGGGATAATTTGTAAAGACACTGTTTTTTTGCTCCTAATAGAGCAAAACAACTTTGCATAATTCATGCTGATAAACAATATAAATCACCGCTTACATATGCAGAAGGCAGTGTATGTGACCCCATCTTTAATAAATAAAATAAACTAAGCCTTAATGAATCAATCCCAGACTAGCTGACACACAGACATTCAGATAGAGGAAGATTAAAGCACCAAAACTAATGGAGAGTGGGTCTGGGGAGGACAGGCCTTCGCACACAGCGTGTATGCTCTATGGGTCGATGGGGCTTATGAAGCCCGCTCCAGTCGGTCTGGTGACAGATTAGCCAGGCCAAGCTGCTCTTGGCCAGGGGCGTAATCTTGGCTGGAAGCCCTAAAGACACAGAGCAATCGATGGGCCCAGCATCAGTCATGCAGCTGGCCCGGCCGGACACCTCAGCACTGAGGACATGCTGCTGTCGCTGGAGCAGTGGGGACATTTTCTCCACATCATTAATATTAGTGCATAGCAGAGCCAGTGGAGAACATATATACAAACACATGCACTTATGATACTGCTGTAAATACAATATATTATAATTCATAACTTTGAACAATGACCAAAGATGGAAAAATGACATTTGTAGCATAATAACATCTTTACATATTGCAACTGAATGACTTTCAAAACAGCTGTGTGAGTATCACATTTCTTAATGTAGTGATTACATTGTGTTGAGAATCATATGTGAAAAGACGTAGTTCAGCTCAGTTGTTTCAAATCAAGAAAAAGATAAAAGCTTTACAATCCAGTGTCTAAAAATAAATCCTACAGTCAGAGAAGAGTGTGACCCTGCAGCTGCACTTTGTGCAAATCAGCCCTGAGCCCAGAGAAAAACAAGGTTACCTGCTGCTGCAGAGACTATGCTAATTGGGCAGATTGCCTGCGAGCAAAGATTAAAGATGGTTATTTAGCATCTTTGATTCTGGTTATGAGAACAAAGGAATGTCTCTCCAGAATAATGCCTCATATTGGAGCAGTTTAGGGTTATTAGGTAACTTGTGAATGTGTTTTTTTCTCTTACAAGTGCCAATGACGTGATAATCTCACAACATATGGAAATCATATTTGAATACCATGAATTTTTATCTAAAATTTTGAAATACCTAAAATTATAGAAATACTGTAGAGTCTTAAACAACATAATTTAATATAAAAATGCACAATGCTAACCCAGTTTTAGGAGAATCTGACTGAGACTATAAATACGTGCAGTTCCCCAGCAAAGACTGCCTTCATAAGGTTCTGGGGGAACTGTGACTCATATGTCTGTGTATTCTGTTGCAGCCTGTCTGATTGTGTCCTTGGTCTACCCAGAGCCACCAGCTGAGCCTCTCACTACACAGGCTAAAGCCCTGTGGACGTGGAGGAGCTCTTGTGAACGCCTGAAACCAAGCCAGAGTTGATCGATCCCTATTCTTTGCTGAGGCAAGCAGAGTCTTATGTAGATGGCCGGGGTTTAAAGGGGGAGAAAGGATCCAATTTCTGCTCTGGACTCCGCCTTTGTCAGAAGATAGGGTTTGACTGACAGCTCAGTGGTGCGCAGCTCCTGCAGCTCAGAAAAGGACAGGCGGAGGGGTAAACAGAACCAGGCTTATCAGAGCAGAGCAGCAGCCTGGAGGGCGCAGGCCTGGCTCAGCTGGGGAGGCTGTGGGCCGAAAAGTGTGCAACTGAGCTTTGAGCCACAACCTTCAACTGACCCCTGATCTGTATCTGTGCCCACACGACCCTGAGCTATTAACAGACTGAGAGAAGAGGAGAAGGACAGATGTGTTTCATGTGCTGCTAAATGTCACTCCACTGTTGTGTTAATCCAAACTCAAGAAAAGACTTCCAGTGAAAGTCTGGGTACACAACTAAGATCTGGGTATTATTTCATTTACAGACATTTAGAAATGTGTATTTTTACACCATAAATATAACTGAAAAAGTCATCTGCAGGACTAGTAAGGGAAGTTACACGAAGTATCACGTCAGACTTCAGTTCTGAAAAAAAAACCCCAAGCTGAATTAAATATATTTTTAACATTAACTGAAGTCAACAAATAATACACTGCTGAAATTATTGTGGATTTCCCTAAGTAGGATAGAACCTTTTTGGACATGATGTAACAATATACGAATTTGAAGACTATGTATAATTACTTTTGATGCCAACACATGTTGATAACACTGAGGAGGAGAAGGTAGAGGATGATGAGGTGTGACAAGTCAAAAGATTAAAGAGGAGCTACATATGAAGCAGCACAAGGTGTCACAGCCTACCTGCTGTCCTCCTGGTTGATAATCATGTACATTTCCCATGTAGTGTCTTCTGCAATACCCCCGTGTGGTACCAGCAGACTGATGCCTGCAGAGAAACACGAGCAATGCAAAACAGTGAGTGGCACATACAACACACAGTAGCACCTGCTGCGCTGTCAGCTCCCCTCTCACAGGGTGACAGTCACAGAGCTACTGGCCCCACAAAAACTTCACTGTAGAGAATCCCCCTGTACCTTGTGAATCAATGCAAGCAGCACAGTGTGTATCAGAAGCATCTGCTCTCGCAGATGGCCTAATTCTTCGACTTAAATCTATGCAGTGTGCACACAATCTTAAGATGCTGTACATATGACAAACAATTACTGCCAATCTATGCAGCAGTACATAAAACTCCTCGGGTGACAGGATGATGAATGTAGGCCAAGAAGATGTGCCTGAATAATGAGAAGGCATTGCACTCAAGCCTTTGCATTAAACAGTGCACACTTTTAAACTGCTGTGATTATCAGTAATGCCTTTAAATGTTGGTAGGTGAGGCTTAATGTTAGAGATACATGGCATAATGTCACTACACTGAGCTTTCAGTCGCATCTGCTCGACTGAAAATACCACAGCTGTCAAAGTTCATCTCTTTGGTAAATAATATATTCCTGTTCATGTTGCAGGGTCAGTTGAAGGCATTTTCACAGATAACAATGACAATGTCAAACAGATTTAAAAATGCAACAGCCTACATTCTTTGCTCCAGTGTCAAGGACTGATAGCTTTAACATTTAATAACATTTGAGTAGGACTTGTCATTGTCTGGGAGAATATACATATCAGTGAGAAGGCCACAGGGACTCACCTGTGTTTGGGACCATCAGCTTTCCTCCTGTATGGTTGAACACTGCAGATGCTCTGTGCACAGGTTTAGTGGTCCACTGTGAAACTTGTGCATTGAAGGGATTCTTTCCTCTCCGGCCTAAGGTCGGCCCGACTGGTACCCCCCTGTAGTCTGGAGCCAGACCCCTGGGAAATGTCTGAGGATGGGAGATTATGGGGTACTCTGAGCTCTCTGTGACTCCTGAGAATAACATGTTAGTAAAAGTTAGTTAGAAATAAGTGGAAAATGAAGATACTCTAAGATCACTCTTCACTGGACAGACCTTTGACCTTAATATCAGGCATAGGATCCAGGAGCAAGTGCTCAGCCATCAGCTCCTTCTCAATGGAGTCCTGAAAACACATGGGGCTGGTATAGGTGCGCGACACTGTCAGATCAGCCTGCATAGACGAGTTCATGAGGAGAGCGTTTGCTAAAAAAAAATCCAAAGAGAGCAGGTTTTGAAAAATGATGAAAATGTAAGCAATATTATATAAGAAATTAAATATGAATCAGTGTGACTAACACAAAAAACTGGTGAATACGTCATCATTAAACATCAACATTTTCAATAAAACAGCATGTTGCCTCATAACAAGTGTAAAAATGTCAATTGCAATTTAGATTGTCAGGAATTAGGTTAGCTCTTACAAAAGAACAAAAATACTTAAGTGCCAGTCTACTGTGCAGTACAACATAGACATGAGGACATGTGTGGTTTTCTGTAGGTTGGTTGTTTTTGGCCCTGTACATAAGGAAAGAGGGACCAAGATTAAAGCTTCAGATGGCTCCTGCTGTGTTATCAAAATGAACTTTATAACACCCTGCTGAGAACTGTTGCTGTGGTAACCCATTATGCTAGCCTTAGTAAAATATGTGTTGTTCTGGGATCTAACATACCTGTGAATGCTGACCTTTTTGTATGTTGGGAACTGTAGACACTTAAAACTGTGAAAGCATACTTGAAAATTAATGTTTTAACTTTAGCTGTTAGGTAGAGCCCGACCGATATATCAGCTGGCTGATATTATTGGCCGATATGGGCACCTGGCGACATATCAGATATCGGCCGATATGCTTGCTGATATGGGCCGATATTTCACGTGGGCATGTTATACCTCGTTATAAAGCTTAGACTCTCTACATTATGTTCATTTAATCCAATTTACAGACAGATAACTGTCCTAATATGTGGCTCCGCATCAGTATTTATCTGCAGTGTAATTTGTCTGTGTGTGTGTCCGTACTGTCCCTGAACACACCACCAGAGTCACGTCACTTCACTCACGTACTATTGTTTACACCCGCAGCGGTGCGCAACACTGAGATGATATTCTTTTTACGGACAATCGGTTTGAGTCTGGATTAAAAGGACTTTTATTAGTGCAGACTTGTGATGTGAGGAGGAGCCTGTGTGAGCGGTGAGTGTTGGAAATACATCGACTTTGAAGCTAGTTTTGGTTATTTGTTATTAGCGATTAGCTGCTGTAGCTCCCGCACATAAACAGGCTGTTTTCTATTGGCCTATTGTAAAGTGACAATATTGGCCGTATATTTGCTACTGGACCAGCATTGATATGTAAATGAGCTGTGAATAGACGTGTGAATGATCCACATTTATGCATATAATTAATTACCGCAGCGCAGGTTTTTATGGCTAAAGGCTAATAGCGGTAGCTTCTTTACTAGCTAGGAGTTATGGGTCGGTCGCGATCGAAGCGGCTCTTTGAAGCGAACAACGGGAGCATGTTTCTTATTGGGAGCCATGTTTTCTCTTTTTCTCACTTTTTCTCTTCAAGCCGCATGTAGACCGGTAGTAGTTTGACAGCAGCAGCGGCTGAAAACGAAACTTTCAGAAATCTGCATGTGCATAGGATAAATTTAAAAAAAAGTGCATATTTGGCTGCATTTCAGCATAAAATGAATAAACCAGGACTAATCTTGGGCTCGAGTGAGGGAGAGGCCGAGTCCCGACACTCAGTCCTGGTTCAGTTCTGGTTTAGTCCTGTTTTACACATGGTTTAAATCTGTTTTAGTCCTGGTTTAGTCCTTTTTAAGTCCTGGTTCAGTTTTGGTTTAGTCCTGCTTGCAACAAAACAATCTCAAGAGTCGCTTGGGAGCCGAAAGAGCCAGCTGCTTTAGTGAGCCGAGCCAAAAGAGCCGGTTTTCCAAAAAAAAAAACTGGAATACCCATCACTAGTAGCTAGAATGTGATGCAAAAATGCCATTAGGCCAATCTACTGTATGTAAAAATGACGTAAAGAGTCAGAGTAACAATAAATGTTGCCAAAATAAACCCAATTTAGAATCCACTAGAGCCAAATCTAAGTTTTTTAAACAATTCAAGATTTACAGTGAATTTTTACATCTCTAAATATATCGGCAATTATATCGGCTATCGGCAGCTCCAACTCCCATTATATCGGTTTCATAGCGGCCACAACAAAATCCATATTGGTCGGGCTCTACTGTTAGGTATTATTATATGAACAGCTGGAAGTGCCACAGACACAAGTTTATTTGAAAGGATATAATTAGACCTCAAAAATAAAGAGCGTTGACATTTTTAATGAGATGTCTGAACCAATGTTTTTTGATAATTAACCCACATGCATGATCATTATAAAATAACATTTGAAAACCTAATTTGCCCTGAATCATTTTGAATGTATTTGTTAATTTGTAAAAGTTATATCACACAGGGCCTTTTCTAAATATTCATTTTGCTTTCGATTGGGCTCACCTTGTCGAGAAGTTTTGAAGGTGAAAGACTGAAATCCCCCGGTGAGTGCGGAGGAGTCAATGACATCCACCCCATATTCACTCTGGCTCCTTCTGTACAGTGTTACAGCCACGATCAGCACCACTACAGTAACCACACCAGCAGCCAGGCCAGAGTACAGGGCCACATCACTGCTACCTTCCACCCCTGGAAGAACCAAAAATACAGATACGAGTGTGATTTAACCCTCCAGACTAGGAAATGAGATCATGTTCATGGGAGTGGATCTCTCCTTGATTGTGGTTCTCTTTGAGGTTTCTCTATATTGCACTGGGTTCTTTGGAGTTTTCCTTACAGAGAAGGAGGGTCAAAAGACAGCGGATGCTCTGGAACAGTTATCCGTTTGCTTGTTTCCTGTGAATGGTGATTAATCTTCTTGTCTCTTAGTGACCAATGACTGCTTTACTCTGTCACTAATTTTGTAACTTTCTGTTGGTTAAATCAACGATCTTGTGAAGACCTCAGAGGTGACTGCTGTTGTGATTTTGGGCTTTACAACAATAAATTGAACTGAATTGGACTGAAGTATTCTCTAAACTTGCATTGCAGTGATAAAGCAAGCAGTCTTATACAAAAAGAAAGATATGTTTGACACTACTTCAACTTTCAGCTTCCTCTGCAGAGGCTGTTGAGGCACTGCTTCACTGTTCCTTCCTGGAGTGTTAAAGCTACTAATGAGGAACCTCGAAAGGAAGGCGATTATAATCAAGCCAGCACCTGACTATCATCTCAAACACCACTCTGTCTGGCATGGTGGAGGAACACAGCTTTCCTCTGGGATAATGCGACAAAACCAATTCATTAAATTAGCTCATCTGCAATGATTAAGGTCTATCTGGTCCCACAGTGATACACTGGCCGACTACACCAAGAAAAAGAGAGCAGGGGAGAGGGAAAGGCAAAATTGTTCTTGAAAGATAATGAGATCTTTGGTGGAACAAGACATGTCCAGAAATCCTCTCACTAGCCTCAAAGCTGAAATGAGGAGGCAATATGCAAAGTGGCATTAACTGCTACCATAGCAGGTTAATTGGGGGCGTGGAAATTTTTGGCAGTACACAACTGCACAAGAGAAATAATATAGTAACACATTGTGAGGAAAAAAAGCATTATTTCACTTTTTAAAAAAGCAATACATGCAAAAATAGACTATTAGGAATGCTGAGGCATCTGTTTTGTCTTGAAATTGTAATAAAAAATGACATATATATATATATATATATATATATATATATATATATATATATATATATATATATATATTGTGCTGATCAAAACTAAAGTTGGAGGACTCACCTTGGGGCTTTGGGTCATGCAATAACTTTCGATCTGCAAAGAACAAGAGACAAATGGTAACCCTGGGGAACATCAGAAGTGTTTTGTTCTAATGGCTTCTTGTGTATGCATGCGTGCCCATGTTAAGTATATGAAGTGGAGATGAAGACTAATGAAGATGGATGAGTGTGCCGTTAATGAGCGTGATTATAAAAATGATCATGATCTGGGCCTGCGCTGCCAAGAGTGATGATCAGTAAATGCATAATGACACAGTCTCATGGCACAAAGGGTCTGACAGGAGCGCTCTGTGCTCACCCTGAGCGCACTCCCCTCCAGTGCAGTTTTCCACAGATAAGGACACTCCGTCACATAGCCGTCCTCCATGTTTGGGCTCAGGAGCAGTGCACTCTCTGGACCTCTGCCGCTCACAGTCACCACTGCATAGGCTCCACTCACCCCACTCCCCCCAGCCACCATCCACTGAAAGGATAGAAGCAAAGAAAAGACAGATCCAATCAGACTGCTGTTGGACCAGACCTGTGACAGCAAAATGTGTAGTCCAGGACCTTTGGGGGGTGTCAGAGATTGCAAGAGGTCCCAAACGCTTTGTATGTTCTGAGTTATTAATCGTAGGCAGATTAAATCGTCAACATACCCATTTTGAAAATTGTAAAGAAAAAATATTATTACAAATGTTCTTTTGTTTGTTTGTTTTGTTTTGGGGTTTTTTAGCAATAGGATTAGCTTTAAACAATGTGTGTATGGCTTTAGGAATATGTAGCAATATGTATGATATTATATTTACACTGTTTTTGTTCAGTGACTAATTTCACATAATTAAACAAATTCAAGTCAGAGTTTCCTACTTTCTCTTCCAACATAAACTTCACATCCAATGCTGAGAATACAGGAGTGCGAACTGACACCAAAGTTTCAGCATTATCTTCTCTTATTAAAGTAATACCTACTACTGCCACTCGATCTTTTTTTCTTTTCATCTAATCAAATCACTAGATGAGATGTTTTGTTGATTATAATATTTTTAGCTTATTATATTCTTTTTTCTTTACATCAAGGATCTTCAAGAGAACCTCTGAAGATAAATTCTTTTACACTTTATGTGATGTGCAGCAAATGGCATTTCAGAACTGTCTGAGTCACGTTTTTAGCTCAAGGTGCCATTTGAAATGTCCTCCTCCACTTCCTTAAGTTCACTGCCTTATGCTAATCGAGACGCAAACGCACCTGTTTATGTTCAAACCCTGATGCACCAAGGAGAACATTAAGAAGCAGAGGCAGTTGGCAGAAAGTAGATAAGTTTGAGAAGTGCACTGCTTTTCCCTGATAACTTCAGGAAAACCTGGTGAGAAAATGGCCTGATACTGGTACTATGTTGAGAAATATAAAGAAATATATGGGTACAGATTACATGGCCGTATGGATAAGTGCACTCTTTCTCTCACCATTGCAACTCATGCTTTTCCTCCTGTATTGGCTCCACATACTTGTGCTAATAACCTTATGGTTCACTGTCCTTTCCACTGACAAAAATCACATGTTTGGGGTTGAATAATAGCATCACTTTCTGAAGCTGCTGCGAAACAATCATTTCACTTTTGTTTATTTATCTTGCCAGAGAGGGCACTGAACTTTGTGCCAGTGGATAGGCCCAGTAATTACAAAGATATTATTAACTATAAACTAGGTCAACAATGTCATCAGACGACAGTAAATTCTACAACAAAATTCTTACCTGTCTTCTAGTTTTATTTTAAACTAAATACATTTGAATTTTGTGATGTCTTGAGAATGCAACCTATACAGTATCTTCTTCTCGGCGTTTACATGATTTATAATAGTTAGTAGTAGTGCTAGAGAAATACCTGTGCTGTGCCAGCCCCACACTGCCAGCTCTAATCTTGCACTATGCCATCAGGGGTATAATACAGAAGCCTAGCAGATTGGACGGAGTAGAATGGGCAATACTGTCAGAATGCCTTGAGGGTCCATATGCATGAGTGTTATGCCTCACATAGGCCCATTTGCAGAGTGTGTACCTGGGCAGAGGATGTTGCAGGTGCTCTTCTGCACCGACATGCCCTCACAGAAGGTGCCTCCGTTCAGAGGAGCAGGGTTTGTGCATGAGCGCGACCGCTTCTGCACACCACGACCACAGCGCACGTTACAAGGAGACCAGTCTGTCCACATCGACCAGCCCCCATTCACTGGAGGTAATAGTAAGGAATGAGAGATTAGACATTTCTATCTCAAATAGAAAAAAAATGTGGTGGGCCATTGGGATACGGACTTGGGAAATTTAAGCTCACAATTAGTAACTATAAAAACCAAAAATGTTAAGTTTTTATCAGTTGGAACATGCAGAGATTGGGTTAGCAAAAAATATATTAACATATTACAACCCTGCATGCTAGCAGACCTCAAAAGATGATTTCTTTCTTTTTTGACTTTTAGTCATTTCCATTTAACATAAAAAAAAAATATCACAATTGCTTCCTCCAAATCTGAGTTCCACTCCAAACTATGTTCTTACTGACTGTGTAGACCTACAGTAAAAATTGATTAATTGCCCAGTCATATTTCTCAGTAAATCTCACTTTTTATGTAATTCATCTAGCAAGAAAAAGTATAACATTCACTAAATAAGTGGGACATGGGACAGATACCTAAGCCTACCAAAAAGGGTTATATCTGGTCACTCTAGTCCAGGAGTATGGAGACCCCTGGGGGGTACACAACCTGTTGCCAGGGAGGGTACCTGGAATAATTTAAAATAAAAAAGAAGTTGAAATTGAACAGTATTTGAAAAAAATCATGTTATATGTAGTACATTTCACATCCTTACAAGCAAATTTTAGAGGTCTTTGGGCACCAATATCATTTTAAAAATAAATCAATCAATTGTACAATATAGTACTATATTAACAGATTTCTTTGCCTAGCACACAAGTTAGGGAGTGCTCAGAGTGTGACACAAAAGTTAAGGGATACATGAGACAAACAAGGTTGGGAACCATTGCTCTAGTCTATAGAAATGGAAGTATAGTGTCACTGACTACAACTACAGACTAGAGTTTCCATCACAGTGCACTGTCACAAAAAAAGAATCACAAACATGATCAATGAAGTCTTCCCTTCTGCCTGCCAAAGTCCCATTCCTGATTTGTTGTTTGAAGTAATGTAGAGTGATTGACTAATAAGCTCATTTTCTGTAATAGCGGGTGAAGAAATACTAGCGTCTCGGCATGTGCATCTGTTGGAAGAGACTGGGAGCAGTAAGCCTGTCAAAGACTTCATTATCATTATGTAAATTAATGATCGATCGGTCCCAACAATACTTGTCAGAAGGAATCACACAAATTTATGTGGCAGCTAAATGCACGCTCAGAAACCAATACAGCAAGAACAAAGTCATAAAAGGAGCTTAGAAAGACTTCCTCAGCTCAGGCTGTTCACTTAGATCATTTCTAGACAAACTCTGATGATGTCTCAATAGAACATGTGAAGCAGCTCTTATGAATAAAAATGCAGTAGGTTTTGAGCATACAGATACTCTAAAATGACTGTGACTTGAAATGGCTAAAAGGCTAATTTTGCATAATAAAACTTTGCACATTCTTAATTATGATTTTACATACCCTAATTTGTTTACTTGTTAAGTTTAAGCTGGTTTGAAAGCAGCATGTTTTTAAAGTGCATACAGCGGGACTTACAATTGGTTCTGTGGTCCCAGCATGTTGTGACAGCTCATGGCACACTGTTCTCTAAATAATTTATCAGTATAAAATATTGCAACTTCTCTCAGTGTTTAGAAGGATGTTTTGGTCATTATTTGTTCATTAGGAAAGCCACACACTGGGGGAAGCATGTTTTTTTAAATTAAAATCAGTGGGGAATTTGCTTGAGGTATCAAGTTGACAGTCCTCTTATGTAAAATTTATTGTTTAGACCAGTGTGAGTGGTTGAAGCTGTATGATCAAAAATTGCCCTTACCGAAAACAACCACAGTGGCAGTGACGCTCCTCCTCTTCGCCACAATGTTGCTGGCCATACACGTGTAGTTCCCTGAATCTGAGAGCCGTGCCTCTGTTATGATGAGGTTATGGTCCCCTCGAGTATTTATCACTCCATCAGAGCTTATGGGTTCATCATTTTTCAGCCATTCCACCTTTAAAAATATACAATTCTTAAACATGTGGCACAAACAAAAATCCATCTTACACACATTATATCTACAGTTGTTTGCATTTCATTACAAAGTCACAAAGACTGTTCACATTGTTGCATAAAGGTGTTTATTTATACACAATTACAATTAAGTAAGTAATATTTGTATTATATAAAGTACTGCCGCTGCTGCTGTTACTACTAAAAGACAAACCAAATGCTCAATTTGATCATATTTGTCCAACTCAAAAAAAAATAAAAAATAAGCAATACAAAAATTAACCTCATTAAAATATATTAAAATAAATAAACACAGAATACCACACAACCAGACTTAAAACACTCATTGTTGCTACAGTTATCACTTTTTTGTATCATTAGACAGAAAAAAACTTGTGGTAACTTGTGGTACTCTGTAAAATGACTTTTACAAATATGTTCTTAGACAATTGAGCACCAGTTAATTTGTTTACTGAAATGTTTCATTTGATCAACAAAAATTAAAAAGCAACACAAAACATTTTTTTTTAAATAAGACAAACGTATTTCAGAAGATATAAAGGGCGAACATTATCAGAGGTCTGTCAAGCAAAAATGTGACTGACAATCTATTGTGTGGAGCATATTGCATTAGTCAGGTCACCTCTTCATTTGCGAGTCATTCAGCGTGTGCAGCAGAAGAAAGTAATAAGGAATTACAAACTAAAGGACGCTGTGTTGATGCTCCCTTCTCTGCATGGCTGCTCCTATAAATTGCTATTAATGTGCCACTGGCTTGAGCTTTTCATTGAGAGAGACGAGCTGGGCGCTTGGGAGAGAGCTTTGATTTATGACAGTGTATTTGAGGATTAAAAACTCCGCCCAGTTCGAAGTGTGTGCATGTGTGTGAATGCTTCCAGACTGACTGCATTTGCCAAGGGAATAGAACTGCAGCCAACAAACTCAAAAGATTGCTTTGCTCTTTTCAAGCAATCTGTGAAAGAAAAATGAGCAGCAAAATCAATAAATCAAGAATCATGTTGTCATTGGTATTTTCTCTACAGTTTTGATGGCCAGAGTCTTTCATCACGTGGCTCTAATTGAACGTCTTATCATTGGGTGTCACTGGCTTTACACAAACCAATAAACATGAGCTGAATTCTTGGCACTTCTTTTAGATTTTGCCATTCAGTTTCACACCTTCATTAGCTCACCAGGACTTTGTTGCTGTGTACACAATATTTTCCAATCTCCACAGGTGCCATATCAATGCTGTTGACTGTGAAGAAAGCCAGTTGATGCTTTCATGTACTACAAGAATGAACACATGTTTGAGTCTTTGAAAACTCATTTCAAGTTTATTTTATTTGAAGCACACAGAGCTCTTACTTTCAATAATGCAATGTCTCTGCAAGCCCCCTTTCTCTCCAATGTTGCTGAAAAGCAGGTCCAAGCCTCCTTCTCCTCCAGGCTATACTTCAGTAAAACACTCCAAGTTGGCTTCCATGGACAGGCTTGAGTCTCGAGTCCAGATTACTTCATGCTAGTTGTCAGCATGAGCATATGAACCCCATCCACTGCTCAGTGTTTTGTCTTCACATTCAACAACAAATGCAGTAAAAATGGGCTTTTCATTCACTCGAGTCACCATACCTCACTCAAAGCTTCTGTTTCCTAACATCACCACAAGCTGCCACAGTGAGACAATCTACACACTTTAGTAGACCAGGCAGATGCCGATTTAAAAAGGTTTGGTAATAGTAAGCCTAGTATTAGAAACATCTGTACAAACATCTGTACTTATTAAATCTTTTTTGGTTGTTTAAAGGTACAGTCATAGATCGTATGAATGAATGGACAGAGCTAACACACTAGCCACAGCATTCCAAAAGGAAGTGTGCCAGGAGGCTCTTCCGGTTCCTTCTGACCCTGGTTTCAATTGACTTACATTGGGATCTTATTGCCCCTCTCTCTGTAACTGCTGCTGTAAGCTTCGTCATTTTGGTCTTAAAATTTAACCTTTGAATAACAGACCAATCAGATGTCTTCATTCCCCGAAGTTGCTCTTGCTAGCGTTAGCGACAGGTTTGATTGACAGCTAGTGCGTCTCATTGCTAAGTAAGTCCCCCTCCCGTTTTCCAGTGAGAAGGGCAGGCACATTCAATGACCTCAATCATGATTAGCTCTTGTGGTTTCTATGATACTTTTGGTTGCGGAAATGCAACCGCTGTAAGCGTTAGCATTGGGAGCTTCATTTGAATGGGCCTGAACGCTATGGGTGACGTCACACTCGCTTAGTCCACTTTTTTATACAGTCTATGGGTACAATATGTAACTTTCTGGAGGTGGCACATCACCTGCATGTACATTTATGCAGTTGATTTATACAGTATGGCATAAAACATAAGGGGCCCTATTTTAGGGTGACCAAACGTCCGTTTTTCCCTGGACATGCTCGTTTTTTGCGTCCTGTCCTGGGCGTGATGGAAATGTCCGGGTTTTCATGACGTTCATTGAGGCCATTAAATGGAGTGGCTCTCGTAGCTCTCTGTGCACTCAGAAGGAGCATGCAGACACAAACAGTCGGTCAGTCTGCAACATGCCAAAGCTCAAATGCGCATTTAACAATGACTTGTACAAGAAATTCTCCGTTTTCCATCCCGGTTGGGACAAGTGGGAGGCCATGTGCACAGGTTGCGAGATGAGAGTAGCTCACTGTCGAGGCCCCACCCCCGGTAAGGTATCAGGGTTTTCACAAACGGAAATATAGTCACCCTACCCTATCTTGCCCCCGATATTAACGCTAGAGCCAGTGAAAACAAGAGGGCAGCTTTAAACAGTAGAGGTGCCAGGATTCCAAAATTTTGTCCTGGGCCCACAGTTCGCTCCCTCCTCTCCCGTTTCTCCCACCTGAGGTACGAGTTTCCACTGCTGCTACTGCTGATTGCTTGAATTCTCGTCTGACTGGTGTCCACTGCATTTGGTCCCAAATTATGGAATACGTTTACTGTCATGTAAATGTTTCTGATTTTATCACTTTGTGCATGGACATGGGTTAAACCATGAACACATAGGGAAGGAGGTTCATGGATCTATTACAGACAGAGTAAGAAAACACATTTTAGGACAGTGCTGTAAACAGCCTCATGTGAATGAGCAGCTTTTGTATTAATAATGCTGCAGGAGGGCATCTGGACGGCGCACGAATATTCCGGACAGCACACGAACATGTGAATGTTATGCATTTATCATATTTTTAAAACTAAAAGAAAGGCTTTTTATACCTTAAATATGTTACATATAATGTGTGTCTGTGGACCAGTTTGATATTTATTTTTACAATTCTGGCAATTCAGTGAACACGCCACACTCCACTTCACCTGATATTTTGGCACAGCACACCTCTTGTTTAGAGCTCCAAGCCCTACATTTAGCAGCTTTATATATATATATATATATATATATATATATATATATACACACACACACACACACACACACACGCACACACACACCGAGTAATCGATAGATACAGTTGAATTGCAAATTGTAATTGACTCTGACGCCTTGAAGATCTCTTTTATTTTCATCTTCTTTATGTTTTCCCACTTAACAATAAGTGCAATGTTACTGACAGCACACAGAGCAGCGACACAGTTAATGAAGAGACCTGTGACTTTCTGAACAAGTGTTAGCTCAGGTGGGATTTGTCATTTTGTTCTTTTACTGAATATAGTCCCAACAGTATTGCTTCCCAGTCTGATTGTCTGTAAAGGTCGTGTTAATTAAACAAGATGAAGCTATTGGAAACTAGCTGTTTCTTAAAGCCTTTAGACAAAACATTACGTTTTACAAACCACAAACTTATTGTTAGTCAGTGCTTTAAATGCTGGTCACACATTTCCAAATCTAATTTATGTTAACAATTCATAAAGGGTTTCAATTTAAATCAGTTGTGATATTGGTATAGGATAAGAGCATATTATACAGAAGATAATGCAACTAAGAACTTAAGTCATTATTATAATATAATAATGTCTTACATTTGTATAATAATATATGATTATATAATCATATAATCTGTAGGCTACTGCACTGAAAGCCTGATTCAGATGATACCAAATGTGATGAATATTGAGCTTTTGTTGTGCCAATTATATGAAGAGGAAAGGTCCTGTCATGGTTTACAACCTGACAAAACACCCACTAAGGCCTGTTAAATTAATACATTACTTATTTCTTAATGTTATGAAAAGAAATATATCTTTAATCTGAATTTTCTTTTGATTAATATTTGTCCTTCCACCCATATTTCCTCCATTGTGTGTAGTACATAGATCAGGAGTTGTGTGATATTCATTCAGTATACTCTTTAGAGAAAGAGTATGCTGAGGCTGATGAGGAGGCGGAGACCAGAGCAACATGAACATGTATGATAAAACAGTGCCGGGGAGGCCTACTAACTCACTTACTTAATTGGCAAATTTGTTCCACTTAAATAGCAACAGCTATAGTCAGAACACATGGCCCCAGTCTGTGGTGACCAGTACAAAAAATAAGGCTATACACTTCATAAATAAACAATGTGGGAAAAATGGCAATTACCATGACAGAAACTGAGGACTTTTTTCTGTTTTTTATGTAATCCCAATTTCACAATGACAAATACTGGGCATTATTTGTCTAAACTGTCAAATAAAAAGCCAGTTAAATAGGCCCTGTGCATGCAATGAGAAACAACAAATACATAATAAATACACATTAGTGGAAATGTTTAAATTGAACTTTTTTGAATTCATTAAGGGTGATTAACTTATTATAATGCCTTGGTGGGAGGGCTAATGATCTCGGAATGTCTATCGTTTATGGTTTATTTAGCCACTCGTGTTCAATTCATTTCTCTCGGCAGTGGGCTTGGAGAAATGTGATCTGCATTTAGGCTCATTTACATATAAGTGAAGGTGACATCCAGACTGTTACAAAACATTGCAGCAGGTTTTGTTCCATCTGATTTAATTAGAATCATTAACTGCCCTTTTCCTTTTGTGACGGGCTACATGCCTGCACCTTCATGCCTTCTTCTCTGCTGTGTATGGTGTTTTCTCTGCCTTAACAACCACCTCCATTAAATCACATTAAACAAATGAGCCCGCCAATTATGACAGTTGAAATTCTGGAGGCGGGCAGTGCCTAGGACCCTTGTCATGTCCTTGCGTTCTCGCTGTACCGTGTCTGGAAATGTTATGTTTATTACTGAATAATTACATTTTAAGTGCTTCAAATGACTTTGGCTATGAGGCTTGGTGATTAATTAGACTCTGTAAAGAATACTTGGGCAGTTAATGTGAATGTAATGATGGTGAAACAGTAGATGGAGGTATTAGAGATTGTTTACCTGTCCATTTGTCTTTCTTAAGAGACAATCCGTAATAGAAATGGTTGACGAGAGCTTTGTTGTTGACATGTTAAGTAGCTAGTAGTGTATTTTAGTCACTGAGTTTTCCCAATTCACAAAGGCAAAGAAAAGCACAAATATTATTCGTTTATACAATACTACAAAAAAAGTAAGCCCAAAGTTATGCAACTAAGTTACATTCTTGAGACAGTAACGAAGTAACAAGTAATGGGTAACTAACTCATTTTTCAAAGAAACTTCCCCAAAGCTGCAGATAACATGGTATCACTGCTGCCATATGTAATAAGGCATTATCATCCAACATAGCATCCCATACCTCTCTATGAGTGGGATGTGGATACCCTGCTCTCTGTGTGGCCTCTGAGAGTAGGAACAGAGCAGTGACATTAGGGCATTTTACGTGGTAATATATCAGCAACATTCACCTTGAAACAACATGAAAGTTATGTATTTCATTTGCAGCTAATCTGTGAACTGTTAAATGTTTTTAAGACAAATATCAATATGTAGTATGTGCACAACTGAAACAAACCTCCATTTAATAACAAGCAAGGATCAAAAGAAAACTCTGCAGTGTGTCCTCAATTCCTAAAAGGCAAAGCTTGAGTGGCTTTCTGAGTCAATTTTCACACTTGTGCATACAAAAATGGGTTTAACCCACAGTCCCCAAAACAGACACATTCCCAACTCTGGGTGATAGGATTTAGCCATACCAGGGGGAGCAGAATCTGTCCCTACATTATTTACCATTACCATTCTCTTTGTTAGCTGCAGTCACATTAATGAATGCATGAGGACTTGCCTATTTGATGACCACAATGCATGGGGGAGACTTGCGGTACACCGATGCTCCATTTGTGTGAACTGAATCATTCATCATACACACCACTCACACAAAAAAGCACACAAAAACGGTTTTATATGCTTTGGTGTGTGATAGCTATAGCCATAGTCATCTCCAGGAAGAAAAGAGGGGATCAGCAGCCAAAAACTATTGGAGCACTTTTCTCTCTTCTTTTTGCCAGCTCTGTCTTATATACAGTCTATTTTGCCTACAATTATACCACCTCAACAACAAAACCTCAGCTTGGATTATGTACTGAGCCCAGAAGTCTGCACTGGTGAATGAGCTACATTTTAATGAATGAATTTCTTGCAGTTGGAAGAAGTTTGACACAAGAGACTGAACTCTGGCTCAACCGTCTTTAAACAAATACAACCGATTTATTTTAATTATAAAAGGGTATAGATGTGAAGTAGTAGTGCAGACTAATTTTAATACAGATACCACCTATATTTACTATAGTAAAGAAACACTATTAATACCAATATTACAAGGCCACAGTGCCCATAGATAGACCTGAAATAAACTATATTTTTCACTTCCCATTCACTATTTCCACAGCTTTTGAGTTGTTGCTATGTGGATAACAATGGGGGGGGGGTCATCAGCTTTTCTTCCTCTCACTTCCATGCTCAGGCCCTAATGAAGAAGGTAAGGAGGGGAAAGCTATACTATATTGTATGCACTGGAAAATTTGCTAAATTGAAAATACAGCAGAAAGGCCCTATTTTTACAAAGCACAAACTTATACTAATCCATGATTTCTTCCAGACTTTGCATAATTTAAATGGTTTCATATTTGTCCACAGTGATTTTAATATCTGAAAAAAATATATTTTTCTGCTTTGGCTGTATAGTGATTTTGTATATAGGCTATATAAGATATTTACATGTTACATTTGGTCACAGAGAATGCTTTTAAGTAAATGCAGAGGTGCAGATGCTGAGGCTGACAGCCTTTGATATTGATGCATGTGCCTGGTGAGCCTCCACATGAAGCTGCAACATCAGAGTACCACACTCACATGCGAACTGCACTCAGGGACACTCAGCCTCATTTTATGGTGAAAATCTAAACAGCCTGACAGCTCCTCTCAAACAAAAATCTATGCCATGGAGAGGAGCCAGTCATGGCAAAAGTGAAAAATATACATGACAAGTAAACAAGTCCTATCTGCACAGACATTTACAAACCACTAGACGAAGAAGCATCGTTATTTGCGGAAACTAACTCCCAGTATATAGCAACTTCAAGTAGTGAAAGCAATGCAACTGCAACTAAAGAGGTGACATTTTCAGCTCATTAACAGCCTCTCTGGCATATTTCATACTGACTCTGTGTTTTTGAGTCTGACATCCTCACACTGCTCCACAGAAGCACAGTTTGTAAACCTGATGGTGGCTGTTCTTTAAAGTCTGAGACGAGAGAAGAAGAGCTCACCTCAGCCGCGGGCACTCCCTCTGGGGGCCGACAATGCAGCACGATCATCCCATTCAGAGGAACCTCTGAGCCCTGGGGGTCTTGCTCAAAGTTCTTTCTCAGGTCTAGACAGGTAAAATAGAGGGTCAGTACAAAACATATGTGGGTAAGGTTTGGATCCACTTCCAAGAACTGAGATACAAAACAAAGTAAACTGATTAAACCTAATGTGGGTGGGTGTGGATATGTTGACAGGTATTTAACACAGTATACACACTGAATTAATAGGGACCGGACTCCCTTGTGGAGACAAAAATCAGGTCCCATGATTAGATTTATACACACACACACATATATATATAAACATAAACATTATTCTTATATCAGCAACATAGGCTGTCAAAAAACAATAGGTCTAGGTTAAAGGTTAGGTTAAAGTTAGGCAAGTTGTATGTAAATCCAACATGTGTTTATGAACATTCACAATTTCTTTTTTTCTTTTTTTTCAGAACCTTGCTGTTTTGCTCCTTCAAACAAACACAATAAGCATACATAAAAGGGCCCCATGACAAAGCTAGACTAATACAAAGTACAATGGGTCAAAAGTGTCAGGTGATGAAAAAGCAGCTCTTACAGGCAATGCGGACAGTTGCCTTGCGGCTCTTGGAGGTTCCCAAGTGGCTCCAGGCCACACACAGACACCAGTAATCCTCTGGACCATGGAAGTCCTCCACCTGCTGCCGTGACACATTGATCATCACCTCGCGGATCTTCAGGCCTGCACAGAGACAAAACAGTGACAAAATTACATATAACTGAAGGTTTCTGTCAGGTTGAATTTGTGGCACATAATACTATAATTTGAACTGCTTTTACATCATGTGAGTATGACACTTCCTATGCAAAGTGAAATGGAATATTTAATCCCATCTCCTCCAAAGTTGCATCCAAGTCAAATAGTAGCTTGGCTTAACCTGAATGGGTAATAATTTCTGGCATTCTTTTAATTCATAGAAAAACAGATAACAACAAAAAAATAATAATAATAACAAGCAATATATAATACACTGACACACAAAATACCTCAAGAACCTCATCACATGGGTGCAGCTATTGTAAAGTCTATGAGATTCAAATTGTAATTAAACAAACTCACAAGCTTCCCATGGCACCAACACAGAGAGGAGAAGACTGTAATATTAACATTTACAAGAACATAATGAAAGACTGCAATCCTCTTCTAAGTAATACTTATGACTTAAGCGATATGTTTTCATCAAGTGGAAAAAATATGCTTTGAGTTAAGCTCTTCAGTGTAAGAAGTCTGCGTAAACAAAGTAATCACCTTCATAATGAAGCTTGTAGGAGCTTGTAGAGAAAGATCTTTGCTTATTCTCTTTTGGGGTTTGGAGTCTTCCAAGAACTGACTTTATTAAATGTAATATAAAGTTACTTTCAGAGGACCGCGTGGCTTCACCAACCACCACCTATGACACAATTTTCATACAGGCTTGAATTATGCAAGTTGGAGCTGTAATAGAATACCTTATCTTGTGGTTATTAGACAATTACAGCCATTGTCACCCAATCAGACAAGCAATTGGTAGCTAATTACTCTACTGCCAAGATGCCTCTGCTTATAAAGGTCCAGCAATCATTACAATCAAAAAGCAGTAGTTCAGAGACATTTTATTTTTTTAAATGTTCCAGAATCCCTGGAGATCAGCTGTGTGATCGGTGGCCTCATAGTTGGGACTTCACAAAACTAAACACATACAAAGCACTGGAAGAACCTGAAATGATCATGGGACTAAATAAACGGTTGTTGTACTAATATGGCTATATAGATCAATAGCATGCAGGCATTTGAGGACAACACAGAACAAGAGCTAAATGCAAATCATTGGACTGCTCTTGCCCGTTTCCTCGCTTTTCTCTATCTGGCAGTGCATCTGTGTGATTTTTATTCAGTCTGGCCCTTTGTCCCATCTTGGCCAGTCTACAATGCTGGCCTTGGGGGTCGGACTTGTGCCAGGTACTTGTGGCTCCTGATCCAAGCACGGCTAAGCTCAGTTTGGAATCGTCTATAGCTCTGATCTGAGGATGTCCATTTCCTGCTGCAAAAAGGCAAATTTTGCTTTAAGTCTGAGTTACTGGTGGAATCCTGATAGCGAGGCGTCTGGGTGCGTGGTGGGCGACAGAGTGTAGGCTGAGGTGGATGGATATAGCTGGCTGTCTGATATGCGCTGTGCTTGGGGGAAATGTTTGTGTGATGTGACATTGCAGCATGCAACCCAAGCATGTGGAGGCAGTGAGGGCTGGCTCAGGGCCAGACACAGACAGACCCTGCTAGACAAGCGGAACATGCTTCTAGCAACATCTTCGCTCTGGTCCCAGCTGTGTGCGTCAACCTTAATCCTTGGACCAAAGGGACCCATTACGCTATGCCTGAAAAAATATGATCAAAAGTCAGACATTAACTGCACGTAGTCCTCAGTCATGCTATTCCAATGGGAGTTTTGTTTATGTTTATGAAGAAAGCACTATTTTGCTGGAGCCCAGAGACCATGACCTGTATAGTTTTTATTATCTAACCAGACAGCATGTTATAGAACACAGAGGTCTACCTTTTCATTCTTCTTTTATATGGTTCAACCATTTTTATGGGTTTCAGTCATATGACACTGTGTTTTGGAGTTTTCTTGCAGCCTTTTTTGGACACCTAATTTATTTAACACAGCAATAAAGATGCTACACTGTTTACTAACTGATTGCTGTTACTAGAAACTTGTAAACAAGTTAACATAGGGCCAAGCATGTTACCTGAAACAAAGTGTTCACTGCACAGTCTGGAATGAACTGTGGAAGTCACCTGATCCCTACTGATGGCTTTAATCGATTTCTGAATATGGTCTTTGGGGATATATATATATATATATAAAGCTCCTTTCTTGTAGACACTTGGTGTTGGTACCATCCAAAGTGCCAAAGTGCAGCAAGCAGGCGGCATAGCTGTTTCATGACAGTACCAACAAATGTGGAACATCACTTCGAACCATAGACTGAACAAAGAAGTGGACTAAGGGAGTGTGACATCACCTATCGCATTCGGCTCCTCTCAAATGAAGCTCACAATGCTGGTGGTTACAGGGGTAAATATGGAGCCAAGTACCATATTAGGAATAGGAATGCACCAGGATCATATAGAGCAGGTTAATATAAACATTTGAAAACCAAAATGATGAGGCTCACTGCAGCAGTTACAGAGAGAGGGGTTACAGTTTCTCAATGTAAAGTCAATTGAAAATAGAGTTGAAAGAGCTGGAAGTGCCCCCATGAACACTTCCTATTTAGAACGTGGCGACTAACACAGGCTATTGTTAATTTATAAATGCAGTCTATGTTTCATACCCATCAATAGCTACTGCTGTGAAAAAAAAGTTACTGCTGAAGGATTAGTTAATTTCAGGTTGTTTTGTAAAGTTGTTTCTCACTTCCCCTATGTATTCAAAACTAATTAATCACCACAATGAATGTATATATTCTTTCCACCACTCTCCAGTTAGGAGTTTTGCCATGATGGTAAAGCAAAATCCATATAAAGTGGACTTCCTGATTATTAGACAATACAGTGTTTTATAATTAGGCTAGATGAAGACAGTACACAACAGCCATATTTTAACCTCAAGAGCTGCTTATATAATATATCTCACAATATATAAAACAAAATGTACTCAAATACATTGTAAAAAAAATGAGGTATAGGCCCTTAAAGCATGTTGTCAACAAATAAGATAATAATAAAAATCCATATTTATACTTCAATAGGTATTGTCATTGTTTTGGGCATATTTTTATTGGTCATCAGTAATGCACAGTGCTGTATGAAACACTCACTGCTACTGATATATCAGTTCTAGTGACAAACCATTGACAAGCGTGGGTTTATGATAAGCTCTAGAATTCCAACCGGACACCAACATTGTAACTTAACTCATAAAAGTGTTGGCAAAATAGATCCTCTTCAAATACTTGGTGTGATGGTGAGAGACTATGTGGCTTCTCACTATCCCCTCACTGGGCCCCACCTTGCTCTTTTTGTCCTGAATGCCGCCCGGGCAGATGGTATCTTTGGTCCAGTCCGTATCATAATACACAACACTGGAGTGGCTCTTTGACAGCACATCAGCAGGAATAGATATCCATATACTTCCCCTACCCACCTACCATTCACTCCCTATCTCCTCATCTCCCAAATCTGCAGCTGCTGCTCTCCTCTCATTCACCACACAGGCACCCACATATCTGTTTGCAGCCTCTATTTCACTCTCTCATTGCACTGTCTCTTCATTTTTCTTATGTCGTCCCGGTCCCATTCGCCCTGTTATCTCTTTATCAGGGTATCATCCTTTCAGTCCCAGTGTATAGGCACAGATATCCCCACTGTTCCTCCTTCCTATCCTCTGCTCTTCTTTCACCCTGTCCTTCAGCAATCCCACTTGTGTCAGTTATTTTCATCTTCTACCCTTCATCACCAAGGAGATGATTTGTAATTTAAATATAAATAAAGTCACTTTGTGGACCAAGACATAACAACAGAAATAACACATTAAACTATATTAAATTAATTTAAAAGCCTATGTAATTCACTGTATGTGTTCCGTGAAGATCAAATTACAAATGACAAAGCATTGATGTTTACTAATTTAATGTTGTGTTTAAAATATCTAAGTTTCTGCTTTTAGATACACACTACAGAATTTCCATAGAGCTGGGATTTTGGCACATCTGTTGCCCCAATCTTTGTTCTAACACCAATGGAGTATTTGGATTTTTGTTTCAGGATAGCCCCCAGACAGGTTATACAATGTTTCAAGGCCATTGAAAACAGTATGTGGGTGTTTGGACACAGATTTGATTTCAGCTGATATCTCAGTATATAAGGTGGAGTTTGCTTTTAAACATAAAATGTTATTGTTTTAGGTAGTAGCTCATATACAACTGAAAGGAGGACACACGTATTCAAGACAAATCCAGTGTTGACTGAAAAAAACAAAACAAAAAATGTAGCACAGATCAGATCCCAAAGTTAAAGAAAGGTATTCCTGTTAAATTTTATGCTAAAATATTATCATTCATTTTTGTAATGAATGAAAAATGAAGTAAAGTAGACCTTAATGTACATTTCTTGTAGGTTCTTACACAAAACTGTCCGTCATTAGCATAATTTACTATATTTAAACTTTTTTTTTTGTTTAATTATGGACAATGGGGAAAGTTTCCTATTAATACTATAATGTGCAATTGTGTTTTGTGAGCCAAAATGAGATATTCACAGAGGCACAAGGTTTACCATAGGCAGTGGTTTGACACACCGGTATTTTTACACCCAGAGCAGCACAAGGTGAAGAGAGGCACAGGCAGATGGTGGATTTATTTAAATAAAGCAGCACAAAACAAACTATTGGTATTTTGGTGAAGGCAGGGGTCTCAGACATGCTCTGAATATAAATGAGGGTTTGTTTATATAATAACTAACTTTCACAGCAGAGAATGATTGGACTTAATGTAACGTAGCCTAAAAAACAGAAACAACAAGCAGCAGATAAATGTTTACAGTGATCTTTCCTTCTTAAAAAGTCAAAGGGATATGAACATTTTCATTACCCTATCCATGAGTTTCAGAGGTAACAAAAGTTAGGTTCGTTGCCAAAGCCATTCAGCAACAAAATATTCTATATAAAAGGTCATAAGTCCTCAAAATGCAGGAATAGGACCCACAGATATATGGACATTTTACCATTGCTTTTCAGTTTTCTCTCTCTTTTCTCTCTGACTCTATGATCTTACCTAATGTTTTTTTTTTCACCCCAGACATAATTATACAGGCATTCCATTAACCAACCAATGAAAAGTGATTAGTTTATTACCTAATATAAAGGTTTAATTCCAGGCATTTGTCACACATCATTTTTCTGTCAAAACATAAAGCTTATACAAGGACATTGACATGACTCCACTTTAAAATATGTATGCATTGTAAATATTTGATGCTAGGTTGCTAATGACACTTGTACAGCTATGTGTCTCACTTTTCAAGAATCTGTGTGAAACAAATTTTTTTTGACACATTTTGAAGCACATTTTCTTGGTGATGAATTTAAAAAGTTGGGGGACAAGTGTAGTTCTCACTCGCTCATAGTCATGCCATGTTTGTCAGTCTGGAATATTCTTGCTGACAAGATGAGTTGCAGGCATGAAATTTTAAGGCACTACATGAAGAAAAAGGCTCCTTAACTACGATACACCTCTAAGTTATTGGGAAACAACAATATTCATTCAATTGCATGAAATACCTTGTTCTCCAGATTGTCTCCTGCTTGTGGCACAATTGCTGTTGAGGTGTAATGGATATTTTTGCTGTGCTTTTGTGTGTCTTGTTTTGTTTGCTGGAAGGCACAACATGCACTTTGAGAGGGAAAACAACACAATACAAAGCTACAATAAAGTGAAACGTATATATCTCTCCAAAGATAACCTATATGTTTCTTTTGCTCCTGGTCAAACGTTGTTGAGGAGACGTTGTGCATCTAATTCACAGCTTACTGCTTTAATAGCGCCAGTGCCCTGCTCTGGTTCAACCCTGGGGCCAACCCTTCATCTGACTCACTGGGTATTGCTGCTGCCCAGACACAGGCATCACAAGATGGAGCTGAAAGAACAGGGCAGAGTATGAGCACATTATTTAATACACGTGACGCAGAATAGACAGACCTGTGACATAATGTTGTTCTGTAAAATGATGTCCCTGAATTTCAGCACTACAAGGGCAACAGACCATTAAAGTAGTAGTAGTATTAAAGTAATGTAAAATCACCATATTTTAAAGATGCACTGTCTAACTTTACTGGTGTCTGCCACTGTTTGTTCCCATGAAGATGTGTCCCTTTGCTTGAAAGATATAATATTTAGATTTCAATTTTGTAATTGCTATAGCAACAAACACATGAATGAGAAAAGTTGCATACTGCACCTCTAGGTAATAATAGGCAAATCAAACATCAACATAAAGAATAAAGATACTCAAACAGTAGTTATAATAAAATGGATACTGCTGTATCACATCTCTTTGAATCAAAGAATGTCATTTTAAAAAGCCTAATGAAGCCATTACTTCCAACTGAATTCTTTCAGACAAATTTTTCCATTTCACTTTCAAAAGCCATCTCAATTTACCAAAGCAAAAATGAATAAATATGTGATGCAAAATAGGCTCAAACATAAAAAAGAATCATTTACACTGCAGCTCTTTGAAGTGGGCCATGGAGTGGCTGTTTGGACAGAGAATGTATGCCATGTTGAAACACACTTATGCACAAATGATTTGTTAAGCACGAACAGCTTCTGAATACATTTGGTGAGGCTGTTGGACTGTACAATAACATCATGCGTAGGCTGCAGGAGATGGCCACGATACTGTTCTTAAAATCATCAAACTCTGGCAAGTAATTGGGAACGTTTTGTCCCAGCTGGCTCCGTCAGTTGCAGGCAATATATAACTTCATTATCCGTATTAAACAAAAAAGCAACAAACTTTTTGGGGCCATAGAAAATACTGTGCCATCCTCTGTGTCCCCAACATGGCCTCCATACCCCCCTTATTCTAGAAGAAAATGATCAGGAACCAGACAGGCACCGTGCAAGGCAGAGAGAGGCAGTCAAAATACTGGTCCATTGTTAGTTTGCTGGAAATATTGATTGGTTCTGCGTTAAGTGAACCATCAACAGTGTGGCCCTAATGGGAGCCTGGGCAGGAACATAAATATTCACTCTCTACCTCGACCCCTTTCATAAAGTAATTAGAATGAGGTTGTTAGATGTTTACAGCAGAATCACTATGCTATAACAAAAGCTTTGTCTGCACATACAATGTGCTAAAACCGAATTAATAAGACATTTTTCTTTTTGGCCTTTGTAGGGGCACCTTCATATAAGCCATGATCTGCATATGGATTTGTCTTGGCATTTATGCCACACTACCTTTTACATTAAACCTTCGTCATTTATTCATTCTTGGGACCATCACAGTGTGCTTGCACAAGGATATTTGAAGCTGTATTAATTTGACTTGGAAGTAATACCTTGTATACCCCCAAGTGGTACTTTAAGTAATACCCCATAACTATTGTTGACTATTTACATAACACAATAAATGTTGTTAAATGCTTTACTCCTGCTTAATGTACCTGGTTGGATAGTGCAATAAAACAACTAATAGAGTCTTCTTGTCCTTGTGCTATTGTATGAATCCATTTCAACTTAAAACAACAACAACTGAATTTCAAGAAGTTGCATCACTTAAAGACACCATTTGAAGTTCAAAGTCAAATTCCCGAAATCGAACAAGTGCCTCCCTTTCATGGTGTAACAGTTGTCATTTTGCTTTATCAAGCGTGACAAACGGTTAAGGCTAAAGAAGCAAGGCAAATACATTGGTAGGGAGAGACTGCAGCTCAAGGCATCTTTATAAAGTCCCGTTGGCTGTGAGTCCTCAGCACATCAAAACACATACATGGTCAGTCACCATGGAAGGTGAGGGCTCTGTGTGTGCATGTGTGTGTGACAGTGTAGTTGATACAGTGGGTTTAACAGCGCAGGTGATGGGAGAATACCTGTTCCTGTATCAGTGTGCTCCTGGGACATGTGCTGACTCTGATGGACCCATTCTCCATTACACTTGAAAAAGATCTGCAGGGCGGGTCTCGCCTGACAGCGCAGCTTTATGGGGTTACTCTTGACAATGTAGGCGTCTACCGGCTCCTGCAGGAACTGAGGCAACGTCCCAGACTGTCCATGCTGCTGGAACTCACCGCGTGGGCCTGGAAAAACAGATAACTATTGAGTAGGGCTACACAAACATATGGAATTAGTTAGGATGTAACAAATAATACAGAATATACACTCTAAGTCAGATGATTTTCAAAAAGAGTCTACATAGCAATATGAAATGGAACACATCTTCAGGTCTTAAACTGTCAGCTCACAATTGCAATGAATATTAAAATAAACATGTAAGCCTTGGTTAACAGTGTGGTTCATTTGGACTTGTTAGCAGCAGACATAATTTCCTCCTTCCTTGCTTGAGTCAGTGCACGTGGTGCTGTTCTAATGCCCTGCAAGTGTAATTACACTCAGACTAATCCCACAGTTTGCTGGAGCCACTTTCATGCTGGTGTGAGGTTTAGTGAAGCAGTTGTGCTACTGCCCAGCCCAGCACCAGCCTGACAGAGCAGTATGCGTCTCCCTCTACAGCAGTGGAGCACAAGTGAAAAGCCCATCAGGATTACACAGACACTCTCTCCTTTCTGCTAATCTAATCCCCTACCTTTCCAGCGGATGTCTGCTGATTGAGGCCAATAGATAAAAGACTGTGATTCTCTGGCAGTAAAAATGACTCGCTCTGTTCCCTCCACATGACACACTTTCTTTCCTCTTTCCTACAATCGAGGCGTAACAAAAAGACATGCTTTAATTTGAAAATGACTAGCCCCAGGCTTTCCTTGTACTGAGTGCTCAAATTTGTTTTGATGCGGCATATTGACACATTATATTCATGTTTGGAAAGACGTGAGTTTGCCTCTACATAATGAGAAGAAAACATGAATACAGAAAACACACAGCTGACAAAACATCATCCGTCCAGGTCCAGACAGGTTGTGTAGCAGATAACTTTAACCATTTTGAAACCAAAAAATGTCACTTTGTATTTTATTGGCCCATTGTGCAATTAGGATATGTTATAATCAAATTAAAGAATATATACTTTTAAAACTCATCTTGAGATAAGAGCAGTTTTTTTTTCATGTGATTTTGTTTTCACAAACTAGTTAGTACTGAATTTTATTTCAAAACTTGTGAATATATTTACTAAGCCACACTAATGTAATTACTAATGTAATTAAACTAACTGTTTAATTCCAAATTATCAATAATTTTGTCATCTGTGGCTATAGGATGGTCTCTACTCCACAAACGTCTTTATTAACACAGCTCCTTTGCATTGGCTCTAGTGTATTGTAGTAGCTGTTGTAAGTGGCCAGAGGACAGGATGAAGACAAATGTGTGTATGCAGTGTGCTGCCACAGAGGAGACAGCACTGTCCTCACTACAGTGATCTACAACTGCTGCTTGAGCCGCCAATAACACAGAAGGGGCTCGGAAACATCGAGACCAGCCTGAAAGCAAAACAAGGCATCACTGCCACAGGCCTGAGTGATGGCTCTATCTCATATCGCTCTCCTGCCTCCTTCCATCCAGTATTCAGCACCAGCTCAAATTATTATTTTTCCCCCAACAGCCACTCAAACTCATCACATGCAAAATTAAAGGCAATCAGTTGATGTGGTCTCTAATGTCATTTAATGAAATCGAAATGAAATGAGGAAGAAAGAGCCCCAAGTTGACTACACTCATTTATCGGTTGAGGTGGTATAGGCGATTTCAGGAGCTGTGGTTCTGCTGTAGTGGGCACTTCTCATCAGGTCAGAGGGCAGCAGGCAGAAGCTGTGTCCGCATACAGCATGGAGCACATCTCAGAGACAGCAACAGTATCAGCTATGAAACAGTGATTTTGATGTCCGAAACCCTATACATCTCGTGGCAATATGAAGACCATTAATACAAAAATCCCTTATATTCTCTTAGATGTATGATGCAAACTCATGTCAAAATACAGCTGGAATGTGATCACGGTGGAGCAGTTAAATATTTGTGGCTTGTGATGGGAGCTGTGCAGCAGATGGACGGTGCATACAGATCAGAGGTGAGGTGTAGAGGAGGTGTGGAGGAAGGAGCAGATGAAGGGTGGGTGTGAGAGACACCCAGGGCACTGAGGGAGCATCTGTTCTGATCACCCATGAGGAGCACAGCACTAAAATCTAACACAAACCAATCGTATAACTGTGTATTCTGTGAAGTTCATGATAAAGATGAAATCAAAGTCAGTTGCTGCAAGACACAATACATATACGATCATTACAGAGGAGAGAGGCTATAGATTTAAAGCTGCAATACGCCACTATTCCTTTTAAATTAGTGCATTTTGCTGTTTTCCCCAAAGAGTATATTGTAAAAGAAGAACTTTGTAACAACAACACTGCACACTGCCAGCAAATAATTGTAAAACTTTTTATTGATTGCAAATGAGGAAGAAATAGCATAGACTGTCACTATAATGCTTTGGGATAAGAGTGAATTGGCTTTACTGTCTGAAAAACCTATTTGTGAGAGTTTGAACATATTAGAGTCATGCGTAAAGGTCCTATATTACATGAAATCCATTCTTGTGAGCTTTTTAGCCATGTTATAATGTTGTTACCTCATCAAAAACATTCCAAGAGCTGTGTTTTGTTTCAGTCACACATGTTTGACTAATCCTATATCATTAGTCCATCTACATATCCAAAGCTTAAAATGCTCTGTTCCAACTTGCAATGTTATGAAGTGTTCAGTAGAGACTGATAATTTCAGGTCTGAAATTGTCAGATTCTAGTGAAGGTGTATAAAAACACAATAGAGCACTCCCCGTATTACCATATGACATCACAAGATGGAACAGTGTTTTTGTTTGAGAACCTAAAATATGCAGGATTTGTGTGTTAAACATGTGTGAATGAAACAAAACACAATTCCAGGTCTGTTTGTGATGAGGAAACAATATTATAACATAGATCAGAAAATAGCATAATACAAGCCCCTTAAATACCTACTTGTTTTTTCATGGTTGAAAAATAAAGTACATCAGCTTTAAATACTTAATAATTTACTACCTTAAATATCAATATCAATGAATAGAGATACAGAAAATGTGTCAAGAGCCGCCAGGTAGGAACAGTTAAAAAAAATTGATCAAACAAATAATGGAGAATGGGGGGTCGAGATTTGGACACAGATATAGTTAGATACCAGACACACAGCTAGCTAAATGCCTATAAAGCAAATAAGGTGAAGTTATTTCTATTCTGTGCCAATGCTGTAAAAACTCATTCTAAATTTATTGTTATTTCAAATCACATCGCTGCTTCCTTTGTGCTTGTTCTCCTAAAGTGTCCTTAGGCGAGTCTCACTATCACTATTGCAGAAAGAGGCCTCCAGCACTAAAGCTACTTTCCAACTTGTAATTTCTCTGCAACTGGCATCACACAAGCAATACATCTCCGCTGTTTAAAACACCACGACCTCAAAAAAGAAGAAAAGACGGGGTGCATTGTTCAAATATTGATGCAAACCTCTCATCTATCTTCAGAGAGGAACAGGCAAGCCCATGCACACTGATCATTCGTGTGTGCCATGACTGGAGATGGTTTCTTAGCTCACATGTCAGATTTTCTTCCACTCAAAACACAAAATCTCTGATCAGCCATTCCACACACAAGGAAAAAGCTGTATTATCCACTTGTCCAGTAAAGTTGTAGTGCAAGCTTCAAACCAAATACAAGAGTTACTTTTTAAATGCTAGGATTTATTGGACAACCACTTCACCAAAGCCACAGGGGGTAGTCTTGCTTAAGTACACCTGATCTGAGTGCAAAATAAATCTGTTAAAAGCCCCTGTTCCTCCTCAAACTTACCAGATTACTGTGGGCAGCATTGCAACAAGTATATTGTGTTATATCCTTTAGCTTCAGCTCTGGTGTAACACAGATATGAGGCACAAAGTCTTCAAAGCCTTGAAAAAAAAAAAAAGATCCTTATATCAAAAATAGTAAGCAATACAGATTAGACGTTTGCATGGATTTCATAGTTGGGAATTTCTAAGGTAAGTATATTTCTGAGCTTTGGCGGCTCATTTTTAGGATTATGTGTATTGGCAATGAACATATATTTAAAAATGAAACGTCAGAGCATGCTGAAAACTGTTAACTGAAAACTATAAACAAATAATACAGTACTGACAATCTTATCTCAATATTTTTGTATTACCGGTAAGTATTTTTAAAAATAATAATAATAATAATCATCATCGTCATCATCATCATCATCATCCTCATCATCACCACCACCACCACCCCCACCACCATCATCATCATCATCACTTTTATATCGTGCTTTTCTGGACACTCAAAGATGCTTTACAGTGCTTTATTCATTCACTCCACACTCGGTGGTAAGCTACTATTGTAACCACAGTTGCCTGCCCTGGGGCATACTGATGAAAGCAAGGCTGCCACTTTGCACCATCGGCCTCTCCGACCACCACCATCACTCACGCACACACCACTTTCTTACTAGGCAAAGTGGGTGTCTTGCCTAAGGACACAATGACACGGTGGTGTCCCTTCCAAGTAGTAACCAGGCTTGGCATTGCTCAGCTTCTGAGATCTGACAGGATCAGGCTTTAACAAGCTGTCAGTTTTTTTATTTTTCATTTTACTATGCATTTTTTCTTATTAAGCAGGACACAATATGTTTTTTGAGTTGGTCAGCAAATGGTGATGTTGGTGTTGACAATAGTTTCCTAGTTCCCTTCCCATGTGTGTTTTTGCTTCACAACACACACTCTCACTTCTTGCAGTTGTTTAAGTTTAAAGTGATTAGGGTGCTTTTCATTATATATATATATATATATATATATATATATATATATATATATATATATATATATATATATATATATATATATATATATATATATATATATATATATATATATATATATTATATATTATATATAGATATATATAATCATTTAAATATTGCACATGTATGTGGCAGTGGATGTGTGTGTCACCTCGGCACACCCAGGTGGTATCTTCATCTGTGTTGTGACAGCTTGCCAACCTGCTTTTGGCAGCCAGGAGATAGTGCTTCCCTCAGCTCT